TGTAGGCCAAACCATCATCAGGGTTTTGAGTTGGCTACTCCTTTCTTAGCTGAAGAAGCCTAATGTTCTGCTCTTGGGATAGTCTGATCAGCTAATTTACTCTATGGCTGCATTTCCACATTGAGCGAAACCACACTTTAATCTAACATGCAAAAGCAAAACCGAGCTGCAATGAGCCATGGGCTTGTGCACATGCTTGACTTATTTCTTTGGCCCTCTTACATGAAGCAAATCTGATACATTTAACAGTTTTAGCTTGCAGAATCCTTTTTATATATACTGGCACGCAGTCTCAATGTCACACATGACCATCCGAAATACGAGTTCCTGCCATAATTTGCAGATGTAAAGAGGAAAGTGCCACAAATAATTCACAGCAATAGTAGAAGTCCCCTAAGCACTGTTCTGTAAGCATTATGACAAAGCTCCATTGTGTGTTTTGAGCTGAAATGCAAGATGGTCTCAATGCAATGCTCATCGTATTAGCAGGCTGATGGGTTTATATTGTATTAATATACCTCTGGGGAATTCCAGTTCTTATATGATCATCTAGGCGCTTGATGTTCACTTCAGGGAAAAATGTTTCTTTTGTTACTTTGCCAGTACAAGCATCAATGGCTAGGGTAAGTACACCCACACCTCTCAATGGAAACGTGACGCCGTTGACCTGAAATGAGAGCTGCTATAAATCACACTGCCTCTTCCCTGAAACAATAATTTGTAAATACAGTGATCTGCTGTAACTGATGGTTCCGCTGCATTTATGATCATTAGGCTTACAGACGACAACAGGGTCTTTGTAACACTGAGCTATCAATGTCTTCTCCTTTCTTTCTTATATGATTTTTATGACGCTTCAGGAATTTGGTTAGGTCTTTTCCTTTGTATTACTAAGGCATTCCTCAGGTAACATGCTAATTTCAACAGACAACATTTTAAGTCCTGTAATAATGGTGTTTCTGTAATCATAGCTCCAGTAGGGTTCCAGCCATTATAGGATTCCACCAACAGTGAAAGGTTTGCCCACTGAAACAAGCCCCCTCGATAGAAAGCAACACAAAAGCAGACCAGAACAACCATGGAAGCTTTAATTTGCCCTGTTAGAAGGCAAGGGGATTGGAATCACACTACAGCTGCTCATTGAAAGATTTGTTACCACTCCACTGTGACAAGAAATGCTTTTAGTGGCAGGCTGTATTAAACTCTTAAATTCTAACCTTCAAGCTCTGAAGGATACCTGCCTATCTTTATTACTCAGTCTCATATCTGTCCCCAGAGTGGAAAAGTGGTAACTCACATTACATCATCACCTTTAAACCACTAGAGCTGAAGTAAACATCAAAATTACTCCTCTAATCATAGCTTTAAGGAGTATTAGCAAAACCTAATTATTAGGCGGCCTGGTACAGTTTCGTTAGCATGTAGTACAGAAGGTATTTCTCCCATTTAAGTTTTCCAAACAAGTATTTTAAGTTTTCCAAACAGTATTTTACAAACAAGTCACAGGATAATGCTTCACATTGCTGAATCTGATACTTTTGCATGAAGTCAGAAAAGGAACCTGGCACAGGAAAATTGACAGAATCCTTACCGAGACAGAAGAGCCTTGATTCCTCTGTGATTCTGCCTGATCGGAGGACTGTATTTTCACAAGGAGGTAGGATTTATGAGGATCACTGGTAAATGCCATCTGAACAAGGAGGATACAATTCATGTTTTTAAATAGAAATTATTTATGATACTGACCTAGAGTTCCCTTAGAACAGAAATGCAGTAACTCAAATGACTGCACTGAAAAAAATGTTATTACTGGAAAAAGCACAAAGAGGGCTATTCAAATATACAACACAATACCATGAAAAGGGGTAAATATATTATTTCTATTGATGTACAGCAAGCTATAAAATGTAGCATGGGCCAATGTATTTTTAACCCCTGTGAACAGATGAAAACAAAGTTTTAAAAACATGGTACAGAAAAGCAACCCCTTCATGGATCACTGCCTTGTCATGGTGAAGGGGCTTGTGTAGCTCAATGAAGCTATGAGCTACGCCGTGCAGGGCCACCCAAGACGGACAGGTAGAGAGCTCTGACAAAACGCGATCCACTGGAGAAGGAAATGGCAACCCACTCCAGTATCTGCCATGAAAACCCCATGGACAGTACCAAAGGCAAAAAGATAAGACGCTGGAAGATGAGCCCCTCAGGTTGGAAGGTGTCCAATATGCTACTGGGGAAGAGCAGAGGGCTAGTACTAGTAGCACCAGAAAGAATGAAATGACTGGGTCAAAGCCAAAGGGACACTCAGTTGCAGATATATCTGGTGGTGAAAGGAGACTCTGATGCTGTAAAGGTCTGTATAGGAACCTGGAATGTAAGATCCATGAATCAAGGCAAGCTGGATGTGGTGAAACAAGAGATGACAAGACTGAATATTGACATCTTAGGAATCAGTGAATTAAAATGGACAGGAATGGGTGAATTTAATTCAGATGACCGTCAGGTATACTATTGCGGGCAAGAATCCCTCAGAAGAAATGGAGTAGCCTTCACAGTCAATAAAAGAATACAAAAAGCAGTACTGGAATACAAGCTCCAAAATGACAGAATGATCTCAATTCAAATCCAAGTCAAAGCATTCAATGAAGGTAGTGACAGATTTTATTTTACTGGGCTCCAGGATCACTGCAGATGGGGACTGCAGCCAAGAAATTAAAAGACGCTTGTTCCTAGGGAGGAAAGCTATGGCAAATCTAGACAGCATACTAAAAAGCAGAGACACCACCCTGCCAACGAAGAGTATAGTCAAGGCTATGGTTTGTCCAGTTGCAATGTATGGCTGTGAAAGTTGGACCATAAGGAAGGCTGAGTGCCATAGAATTGAGGCCTTTGAATTGTGGTGCTGGAGAAGACTCCTGTGAGTCCCTTGGACTGCAAGGCCTAGTTTCACTTATCTGTGCTCTGGAATCCAGAAGCTAGATTACTGCAATTTCCCTTATGTAGGGCTGCCCTTGAAGACCGTTCCAAAGCTGTAACTTGTGCAAAATCCAGCAGTCAGATTAATAACTGGAATCAGGAGGTTTGTACATATAGCACCTGTCTTGGCCTGCTTGCGCTGGTTGCCTACATGCTTCTGAGCCTGATTCAAGCTGCTGGTTTTAGTCGAAAAAGCCCTCCACAGTTTGGGACTACAATACTTGACAGAACACTTCTTCCAACTGCAGTCTACCTGAATGCTACTCTCATTATCTGATGCCTTCCTCTAAAAACCACCACCAAGGCAAGATTGGTTGGTAGCAACAAGAAAGAGGACCTTCTCTGTGGTAGCCCTCAAATTATGAAATGATTTCCAGATTGAGGCCCACCTGGCACCAACTTTACCAACATTTTGGCACCAGGTTAAGACCACCATCTTTGCTGAGGCATTCATTAACTCCGAGTAACACATGGAGGGGTTGGAAGTGTTGTTAGTTGTTTTAACTGGCCCAGCAGCATGGACATCTCTGGGTTGTTTTGTTGCTAGAAAGGTTTTAGATTTTTAGTGTAATTTCGTGATTTTTAACTGTATTTATTTGTGTTTTATTAAATACTATACACTGTCCACAGAGTTTTGGCTACTGGGAAATACAGAAATAAAATTTGTAAGGAAAAGATGCAATGTAAGTAGTCCTTGAACAGAATGGTGATCCTGAAAAGCAATCTCAATTTTTAAAAAATTAGAGTACAAGTGCACAATTAAGCATTTTTAAATCAATTCCAGAGGATTCACATGTCCTTAATCTTCCTGCAGTCCTATTATGTGCACACATATCTAGCGTGCTTTTTCCTTTAAAATCTTGTCTTATTTGCTCCTATTTGTAGCTATTGTGTCAACATGCTGGAAAAGCTTGGAAGTAAGTGCATCAACAGCTCACACATATTCTGGATCTTGCCCTCATTCCCACCTGAGTTGAGCCACATTTTTGGCACAGGCCAGTATTTTTCTTGGGCATTCTTGTCACAACCGTTGGCCTCTGGAAGTACTTTGGATAAGCGTTCTTCAAGCAGTTACTGGCAGGCTTTGACTGAAAGGTGGCTTGTATCTTGATTCTTTCACATCCCTGAGATGAACAGTAACTGTGGCCATTCCTGTGGTTTTTGGCTTGAAGAAACAAAAACAGGAGCCTACACACAAGGACACAAAAGGAACAGACACCTATTGTTACCAAACCGGCTGCAGTGTCCTCATACATCCCTCAAGTCATATGCATAGATTCTTTTTTTAAGCAGTTATACTCACTGGGCAATTCTCCACTTACGATTCTGTGAAACAGTCAGACTCTGCTGATCCTTCACCCCCACCCCTGCCACCGGTTTGATTGTGGGGACACTGAACAGCAGCACAGTTTCAGCAAACCCCAGATGGATGGGCCCTTTAAGAATGCACCATTTGACTCCAGAGGGTGGTGCTTCCACTAGGCAGACTTCAATAAAATAAAATAGGTGTTCCCTGCCAACACTGCTTTCCACCAAATGACGGCATGCAAACCTATTTACTCGGCAGGTGTGACATCTATGCTACCTGTAATTTATACAAAAATTCCAGGCACATGGTGTGCTCAATCCTTGTTTGGTGCATGCTCACAACCACCCTGCTATCCATCAATCATTATTTTGCACAAAGGGAGACGCACAGGTCTACTCAGTATGGGCGGTTGCCCTGACTGCTGCATCACTCGCTTTTGGGGATGAGGGGCTATTCCCTGCAAAAGCAGCAACAGTAGCATGGCTGGGAAGTGCTCTTAGCTGCATCTCTCCACTCTCCGGCCACATCACTGCAAGCTACTTGCCTGCCCAAGAGGATGTGCAACCTTGCTAGGGAGAAGATGAGCCAGTGCATAACCTTTAAAGAACAGCAGGTGGAGTACAATGCCCTTGTTTTTTCCCCTGTCCACTAGCTATTCCTTTATTGTAACCTGCTTTGCAGCCCTGTTGCCAGAACTGTTTACGCTATTTCTATTTTGTCAGACAAGTTTGAGGCCAAGCAGTGGCTTGAACCGAATCTTCCTTTTTCCACATCAAACACTGCACCTCCTGATCAGACCTGCTCTTTGTGTTTACTGTGCAACAAGACACACAAATCAGCAGAATAAAGACATACAGAATGCAGTTGCCAGCTCTGTTCATTCTGGGGATGCCTAGGCAAACCCTACTCTAAAGTGGCACAAATCACAGTTAATTTTCCTGGCACCATAGTGGATTGCTCATGAATTTTGGTGCTACATTATGATTTCCCCCCTCTTTGATTTGTGCATTTCACAATTTTTTTTAAAAAAAGGAGCCACATGTGGTTCCTGGGCCACAAGTTGTCCACCTTTGCTCTATAGTTGTACCACTGTTACCAATTTAAGTGTTGCATAGAAAGAGGGGGTGGTAATAAAAAAATGCTTTTCATTCATTTGTGTTACTATGGCTAACAGTTCATACAAGCAGCTTACTTGCTTGTACATGGAGATCACTCTGGTAACTTTGAGCAGAAGAGAGATTTTAAAATTGTATTTCCACCTTACTTATATTGCACAGGAATATCCTGTGCACTCCATCTGGTGTAGACTGCAAGTCACAACTTGTGTTTTCAACAGTAGCCCTATTTAAGCCTGCCGAGATGCTAGAGTAGATAGGCTGTATATTATTAGTGTAAAACCACAAATGAAGGATGTGCCCTTGTGAAGAAAAGATGCCGTGTTTTCTGCAACTTTTCCTCTTGTATAGATGGCAGCATTTGCAACAATTGCTTTGAAGACTGGCAGGGTGAAAGGGCACTAAAATCCAGAGCGACAACGCCCGACACAGAGGTCTTAAGATAGATAATAAAATTACTTGCTGAATGGATATGCCCATTTTTGATGTGCCCTCAGAACAACCTGCATTACTGGAACCTTTAGAAAAAAGACAACTTGATCAATCACTGCACTCATAACCATAAATCGTTTCTTAGAAATGCAACAACAGGAGACACAACGAATGGCACACCTCTTCACCTGCAAAGAAACAGACTAACCAGCTCCTACAGATACTATGAAACTGAGCATTTAATTCTATTGTGTATTATTCTTTTATGGTGAATATCTACCCAGTGCTGTTGTCAAAATAAAACAATTTCTCTGCTCGACGCTTCTGCAATTCGGCCATTGAAGATACAGGAACATAGTCTTCCACGTTAGAGTAAGCAGATGCCTGCCTTTGGAATTCATCAAAGGTTACTTGGAAGGAAGTGTCTGGAGGGTAACAGAGACCTACCCGAATCCAGTCATTCCTGCAAAGAGAATGAAATTAACATTTGACCATTCACCTATATAGACTACCTGTTCCTTTGTTGTTATTCAACATACTCTTACAGTTTTAAAACTTTGATGTTTTAGTAGGTATTTACAACAAAGTTGTTGCAATTCCCTTACATGGGGAAGTAAATTTAGCCATAAATGAATGGACAGAGTTAATCAGCAACTGCCTTTACTATGGTTTAAACCAAGACCCTCTAATATTCTGACCAAACTATATCCATTAATTTGAATACTGAATGTATTTTGGTCACATCAAAATACTGCGGGAATGTTGAAACAAAATACTTTGTTCTACAGTACATTATTTTGAAAAGCGACTGAACATCCTTCCTGAAATGGATGTAAGGTGCACAAGAGCATTCAGAATGGTTTATACAGATATTCTGTGTGAATTTTACCCACAAATAATTTAGCTAAAAACACATTTTTGAATGTTAAGTGCAAATTAATTTTGAGTGATAATATAATCCATAGCTGGGTTTGTACACAATAATAATGCAGACTCCATCGAATCTGGGCTTCTCATTCATGAATACAAACTAGTATATCTAACTCATCTGTTCCAGCTTAGTTCTCATCACCAGCAGGAGCAATTATAACAACCAGGAATTAAACACTTTGCATTTCAACTGAACTAGGTCTCTTCACTTTTCTTCTGAAATAAGCCAGGAATCATTACCATCTTGAGAGATAAATCTGGCTTGGAAGATATGCAACAAGCCTAGTTCAGGTCACATAGGAAAGGAAAGGAGTCCTGGTGGATTTTACTGCATTAGCTGAAACAGGTATAGAGGGAGGCGCCCATCTCCATTTCATGCTAAGCTTTTAATGCTTAGTTAGTTTAGCCACCCTCAAGACAGGAGGCACCAAACAGGCATGCAGCCTGTGAATGATGAATGCAGGATTCTTCTGAATCCTCGTTTATCACTGCATACAGACATAGCAACCTATTACTACTATATCAAATAATCACGGTGGTTTTCTCTCGTTTTGTTGCTTATCGCTCATAGAGCTTTTTGTTCAGTCCCTCATATTACATTACTGCATTGCAAAAACTAAAAAAAAATGGTAAATCTATGTTTCTCTTAGCTTTTTCACATATATGCGCAGATAAGAATTAAAAATAAAAAAAGTTCTTGCTTGCAGGTTTAAGTCCTCTGGCAATCTAGTCTTTTGTATCAAAACTGGTCACTGAAAAGGAACTTACTTGCTGAAGTTAATGAGGTAAAGAAAGGTTGTTTGAGGGGCCTGTCCACTCCAGTGTATTGTGTAGCTCTTTTGGAGCATCACCACAGGCTGGTATTGCTGAAAATCCGCTTTTTGGTTATTAATTCCTCTCAGGATCATCGGGTTTGAAGGATATTCATCCCGCACCATAGTCATGGTAAGATTCTGTGGATTTCGTGTCTGGATATACACCTTAAAGGCAAGTGGAAAACCTACGCATGAGAATGGATGATGACATGATTAACAAGAAATATTAATTGAAAGAAGAGAGGCAGTCTAGCCCCCTGGGTGTGCATAACTTGGAAGAAACACAAATCAGTTTAGATTACATAAAATGTCTGAATAAACACCCTGCTTTTTGTGCTAGATGGTGTGATATAGTCAAAGGAAAGTTTGGATAAACAACAGTTCAGTTCCAGCCATGGTTTAGGATGCTCCCTTGCATGTAGCTTCGCTTTCCTGCTGATGGTTAGCCATAGCTTGTCATGCCTTCTGAATTAGAAACCAAAACTAAAGGCCGTACCTTGAATTATTTGTGGTTTGGAGGACAAGCACCAACCACTGCCAAAACCAATCTGGATGCCATGCCAAGATACAGCTAGTGCTAAAAGATGAAATGAGGAAGGAAGCCACAGTTGAAAGCGGGAAAGACAGAGCATTAGTTCAATGAGTTAGTTTCCAATCCTCTAAAATCTGATTGTCTGACCAGAATCAGTATAAACAGACTGCCTTCTTACAGCAAGGAGCTCAGTGGTATTCTGAAAACATGACTAGAATAGCTCTACATTGTAAATAAAGCAAGTATGAAAGGGTTGGTTAAAGGAAGCATTTTATCATAGACAATGAATAAAAGCCAAAAAATAAACTGACTTGCCTAATGCCTCTTTCAGTGTTTGCATGAAAAGAGAACAGGGAAATGAATTCAGTTTCCTGACCATAGAACTGGAAATATGATAAAATAACCTGCATTTCAGAGTTCATTCCACTGTTGCGCATCTAACCTCACGTATCTCCTCTTCGTCCAAACCCTCCGTATTTGCTGTGTGAATGTTACCTTTCCCTTTGCCTTCATTATTTTAGAAACTGTTTGTACCCAGGGAGTGGGCTGTGTGTGTGTGTGTGTGTGTGTGTGTGAGTGAGAGAGAGAGAGAGAGAGCGAGCAAGCGAGCGAGCGAGCACTGGATGGACTGAGTTTGAATATAAACAAAGGTATAACTAATTTAACTATAGCTTTTTCATAATCAGAGGCCAGTCTAAAAGGTAGACAAGAAAAAAATGTGATTCATTTTATGCATATAATAAAACAGAGAAAATAGCATCTCTTTTAACCTGTGCATAGTTTCCACTGCAGACCACACCATTCCACCTGGTAAAATTAATACAGTCTGGATGTCGAATCAGGAAGTTATCCATTCTACCAACATAGGTGTCCTTGTATTCAGTCACAGATCCATCTACATCATGGAATATTGAGTTCTTGTCACCATCAAGATCAGCCTCTTCAAACCAAGGGCCAGGCTTACCAAAAAAGACTTTCAGAGAAACCTTAGAAGACAAGAAATACATTAGGCCTTTGCTTGCTGTAATCTTCAAGTAGTCATCCTTTTCCTATCGGGGAAAGCAATTTCAATCAGTCAAGAACTTACATTTTCACCAAACTTCACTAAAGATATATTGTTCTGAGGTGTAATTTGCCAGGTGTTTTTCATCAAGAACCCAATTGCACTTGTGAATCTGTCTGGAGTTGGCACAAAGTTACTGAATGTGCATTTGGTGAGGCGAATAGGTCCATCATAAATCTGAAAGCCTCTGATTGGATAAGTCCTGTTAAAAGCAAAATAAATACCATTTTATCTACATAAGTACACACTTGTAAAGATATATCTATTTAAATATATAGATATTTAAAAACTAATGAAAGTACTAGACAGTAAGCCCCACTGAACACAATGGCAACAGCCTTTGAATAAATCAGGACTAAACTCTAGATGGTAAATATTCATGACTTCAAGACAACAAGATCGGTTTTAAATTGCGGCAAACTTGTTTTGTGAACTAGCATTAACAGTACAATATTCAGACACTATTTCCAATTAGTTTTATCATAGTCTTTACTCTGGCCAGCATATCTTAATGGAACTTTTATTCTTGTTTTATTCCAGTGGTACAGCACTGCTTTTAATATTTTACATTCCATGCTATCTGTTCTAAATGAGTTTCACTACATACAATCCTCATTCAAGGAAATTGTTTATGAATTCTACCCTTGTTTTTCCAATTCCAATTATCCTATGGTAAAGTGCAGACTTCCTGTAGCTGGTTAAATTAGACAGCGGAAAGAGGTACTATTTTAGTAGGTCCATTTCGTCCCAGTGCTTCTGCTCTCTGATCTTGTTCATTTACTGTCTGCAATTCAGTGTTGTGAACCTAATACAAGCAGCACAGGGCTCATCTTACTGCTGCATCAGTATAACCAACACCTTCCAAGAGCTTTGTTTAGAAGCAGCTTTTGGGTGGATACATAAACTTTGCCATCAGGTATTTCCAGGTGGAGACTCCTAGCACCGTCAACTCATTGCTTTTCTGCTATGAGCCACCAGCAAAATTGTAATGGACTTTCTAATGAACACTGAGGGCTACACCACATTTTTTGTCTCCATCTCCTCCTGCTCCTCCTCTTTGTCCTAATGAAACTGCAAGCTCTTGATCAAAGTGGCTTTGCTATTCTAGATCTTTAAAAGTAGATTGTCCAGAGAGCAGGGATGAGGCTGTAATAGTTACAAAGTGAGCCATGCAGGCAGAAAAGGCCAGTTCAGAGTAGCAGTTTTTTGTTGTGAAACCCAGGGGGCTTCCTGGTGTGCTTGGTCTAAACAGTATGAAGAACTGTGAAGAGGGTTAGAACTTTCTTCTTTCTTTCCAAAAATCTGTACGAATCTTGAAAGCTGGGAGAGAATTTGCTGTCTGTTAGAGAACAAGATTTCGTCTTCTCAACTGCTTCTTAATCTTAATGGGTGTGCCAGGAAGGATCTGAACTTTTTCCTTTGGAAAGCCTTGGCATCACTCCACTCCCTATTCAAAGTATTATGCACTAGCAGCCGTAAACTGAAAAAAATACTATAGTAGTTGTACAACTCTTCTTCAGTGGAATCATGATCAACTAGCAGGTACAAAAATAATAATAAAGGGCATAACTGAATCTCATAGTCCAGTGGTAATTTGCCTGTTTAGAGGCATTAAGTACCACTCATTCTGGAAGTTAAAAAGTTAAGGAAGCCGTTAATTAAGGAACTGCTCGTGCTGATGCTGAGAACCACAGCTAGAGCTGCATTAGATTATAAGTATAGGCAGACTCCCACTGGACTGACATGCATACACATCACTTTCCATGCAGAAACCAAATGATTTCAAATGTACCTATTTACTCTGCAGACATGAATTTGCATTTCAGTTTGCAGTACCTGCAATTTACACAAACAGTTTGGACACAGTGTACTTCATCTTTAACCCCGTTCAGGCCTTCTGTATCTCTACAAAGGAAATGTCTGCAGGAGCACTTTAGCTCCCATATTCTCCTCACAGTTTTCTGCTACCCTCTACTTGCGCAGAGCACCTTTCTGAAAAGGAGAGCCTCCCGAATTTGAGAAGAATCTTCATGCAGTTTTGGTCACAGAAAAAAACCGTGCTTGGGGTCACTCAACTGCTTGTGGGGCCTCCACACAGGTAGGAAGAGCTTTTCTTCAGAAAGACGCAGCATGTTGCAAAGGTTTCCAAAATGAAAAGGCCGCTAAAAACTTGGAAAATGACAGCTGGTTATGACTGAGAAAATCCATGGTGGTAGAAAATAACTCTTTCTTGGCCACTATCACTGCCACAGGATAGGCTTGATCTTGAGTGCTCAGGCCCTGTGTACTTACCGGTTTCTAGGCAGAGTACGAGTTTTATTGTTTACTCCTCCAGTTCCCCAGTATTTGTTTTGGCCACCTGCATAGCCGTAATTCTTGCTTTCACCAACAAACAGAGAGTCCGAGACTTCCTGACTGGAGCCTTCATCACTTGGGAAACTTCCATCACTATCATAAACAAAATCAGAGATCTCTGTCAGCAATAGTTTTACAGCAGCAGATCTAAGACTTTAAAAAATTTCTTTCCAAAAGGCAAGCAGTATTTTTCTCTTTTCACATTAGGGCTTGTAGCAAATGCTGGATGTCTTTATTGTTACAGTCAATCAAATGCTTGGTTCTGACAAGTTTATGCCCGAAGTCGCACTGAAACCCACATCTCTGGCACCACATGGCACAACTAGCTCTCACAAAACACTCCCATGGCTTTGGCTGTTATGTTTTAGCTCATCCAGTCTGGTATCAGGATTAGTCCATCAGACCAGAACTGGAAAAATCTGAGTTCAAATCCCCACACAGCCATGAAGTTTACAGGGACCTCTGGGCCAGTCGGGACCTCTTGGCCTAGCTTAGTGCTGATGAAAATATAAAATGGGAAAGGAAGAGAGCCACATATTTCCTGTTGGGTTTCTTGGAAGGAAGGCAGGATATAAATGCAGTGATAAATAAATCCTATCAACGATCTTGAATAAGCATGACTGGTGCCAAACACTAGCATGAAAGCCAAATAGCACTGACCTGGCAAAGGTTAAACCTATCCCATTGTCAGCAAACCTAGAAGAGAAGAAAAATCATTTCAGAAGGCTGCTGCTTTTTAGCACCTCAAACTCAGGGAAAAACTACATGTTATGACAAAAACAGGGTTTTTTTAAAACATGGTTTGAACTGACCTCTCTTTATTTTAAAGGGGAAAAAACCCCGTTGTGGAGCCTGATCCAAACAGGGAGCCCTTTGGAACCATAAATTATATAATTCTGGAAATGTTTTGCTTGTACATAGCGATGTACAGCTGTTTGAAGTCACTGGGATGTAACTGGGGTGGGGGGTGGCAGAGTGGGAAGACTTAATTTATATCCATTCTGGACTGCTTCCCAAATTCACTGGTAAAATTCCTTTCTAAGCTTGCAAAAGCATTCCATCCTTTTGAACAAAGCAATATACCAATAATTCTTAGTAGATCAACTTGCTGTTTGCTATTTTTACACTCCCAGAATTTAACACCACAATGCAATCAACTCGAGCAAGTCTGCTCAAGAGAGCTATTTACTTTTAAGATATGCAAATATTTGGTCTTGGGCACCCACCCGGAGTTCTGAATGATGATATCCCCCCCTCTGACCCAAGCTCCGTGGTCATTGTTTTTGTAAGCAATTAGTCTGTCTATGAAAGCAGCAACTCGTGGCTTCTCGGGATCTGCATCCTGATGAGGTCGAAACCTTACAAAAAAGAAGGAACAAAATATAAATGACTCTGCATATATGAAAATCTGCATGCACATTTACAGTATCCAGCATACTTCTCTGCACACAAGGAAGGGAAATCAGCTCCAGTGCTAGAAAAAGCCAAAAAATATGAACTGTGCAGTGAATGTGAACTTGTTCACATGGGGTCTTATCCAAGGCAGGAATGGGGATCCTACGGATGTTGACATCTGCAACCAATTCAAGTTAATTCAGATTTCTATGGATTTGACCTGCAGATTCTGCACCAGATTGTCTTCTCCTGAGTCATACAGACTTGTGATGTAATTTTAATTTTCTCGAACTTTACACAGATTTAGTCACATAAATATATTACAAATGTTAAAAGCACTGTCTGAAAATGTGAATTCCTTTCCGCACCCCCATGGGTTAAAGAGTGAGAATAAGGATTGGTATGTTTCAGTAACTGCACATTTAGACAAGTGTGAATAGTTCAAGAAATTCAAAAATGTGATTCCATCAATAAGCAGACAACAGAAGAGGTGTTTGACAATCCACAAAACTCAGATGGAACAGATTTAACAAAATCTGTACATCCCTAGGCTCTTAGGATGCTGTTTGTCTACAATAACCATCACCTCTGACCATTGGGCAGGCCAGCCAAGGATGATAGGACTTAGACAGCAATGTCCACAGATCCACAAGTTTCCTGGTTCTGCCCTGGGATATGCTTTATTTACATAGCACAAAGGGATCCCTTATTAATTGCAAACTGAAAAGAACAAGAATGTATCTAGATGTTTACAAGACAAATGTAAATTTCTCTAAACAAGATAGATGTTTCTTCTCTTAAGAGAATTTAATGTTCCTTCACTGTTTCAACAGTTCATTGCCTTTTCTGCCTGAGAAGCCAAGAGAAAGTCAGAGAAGCTGGAAGGAACTATTGCCAGCTAAATCCTGTGTAAGAAGTTCAGGGACACTAATGCATCAGTGAAGAACAGAGGTGGGGAGCCTCTTTCAGGCCCAGAGACACTCTCGGGGGACATATGGCTCTGGTAGACAGAACCAAAGGGAGAAATGACAGGACCAAAAGTACCAGCATATTCTTGCTTAAAGTTTTTAGTGAAGCTTAAGAGAAGCATTTCAACCTTTTACAAAGGGGTAAAAAGCATGAAATTATTGGTAAGTGGAAAGGAGACACGTCCAGAGAAAGACGGGGGGGGGGGGGAGTAGCCATCTAAGGGACACTGAAAGGCCAGAGTGGAAACCAGCCAGGTTTGGTTCTCAGGCCTAAAGTTCCCCACCCATGCTGTAGGGAACTGCACAGGTATTGCATAATATGCTCCAGTGGACAGTTTAAATCCCTTTAAGAAGTGGGACACCAACCACCTTTCTCTATACACCCAGCAGTACCTGCATCCATAGCTGGCAAATCTATAGACAGGAATACACAAGGCAGATCAGAATGGAAGGAAACTCTAAGAAGGTAGACCACTCTATGCACTTGGATGGCCATCCTTTTGCAGGAAGGAGGTGGGGAAGAACAGCCCAAAGTGTATAATTATCCCAATGATCAGTAAGGCTAGAATAAGAGGGAATTTTGAAGCCAAACTTGTTCACAATTGAATTAATTTGGAGGATCCAAGTTGTTGCAGGCTAAGATATTACAATCCTCAACAATGCAAGGAGCATTATTTGTATTGTTAATCCTTGATCGTTCCATTTACCCCATCCCAGAATGTTCTACCTTGCATTATTGTCCAAAGACAGGTATTCCCTTTTATCTGCAGCACTTGCATTGGTGGTTTTCACACCTTTATCAATAAATAAACCGGCCTGTAATAACAAAAAGGGACAAATTAACCTCTCTAAAATCACTATTATGTACACACTTCTGTAGTTCTTAATTAGACTATCCATTAAAGAACAAAGATAGAGCCTGGGAATGTGCATTTGCAGATTTCTCATATTCTGTCTTGTGTCCCAAAAGAACCACTAAACATTTCAGAAAATCCCACCATTAAGATGTCGAAACACAGATGTGTTGACACTCTCTTTGAACTGGAAGCCAGATTTCTATCCAAACTATGAAAGGCATGTCATCACCAAATAAATACTTTTGCAGGCAGAAGGCACAAGAGTATTTCGAGCTAATCCACCAAGTTAATTAACAATATAGCTTCTATGCAACTAACAGATCTGATCAGTCTCAACATGTTGGTCTGTAACTGTAGTAAAGAATTTGATTTGTTTTGATAGTTTTCAGCTTTAAGGAAATGAACATGACCATAAACTAAAGTATCATTTTATCTAAGTCTGTTCGGTGCCTCATTTCAAAAACAAAAGAACTTGTTTTATTACTGGTTACTATATATGAAAGTTGCACACTGCGACCTTCTAGATCAGTGGTGAGGAACCTATGGCACGCCTTCCACAGTGGACGTGCAGAGTCCTCTCTGTCGGCACGTGAGCCAAGTCGCCCCAGCATTGCCCCAGCAGCCGCGCATCAGGTAACAGCGTACATACGCATGCTCGGAAAGCAGTAGTGGTACCAGCCAATGATGTCACAAGCTGCAACTCATTAGCCACAACTCGTTCGAGCGTCAGTGCACTGCCAAGGATATATATATATATTTCCTTGGACTGGCTGTGATGTGTTTATTCTAAACTAAAACCTCAGTTTTCAGCTTTTATTGCAGTGTTGGCACTTTGTGATAAATAAGTGGGTTTTGGGTTGCAGTTTGGGCACTTGGTCTCTAAAAGGTTCAACATCACTGGGTTAGGGTTACAAAAACAAGGTGTCCTGGCATGATTTTGATGGTTGGAATGTGTTTAGAATGAGCAGAAATGAGGAGCTGTGCAGAAAAAGCTACTCAAGGAAGGTTTTTTCAAAATCACCCCTTTCAATAGTATTTTACCCCTATATTATGGTTAAGGGGGTGCAGCAGGGTAGGGTTAGGCCAGTGGTGGCAACCTTATGGCACACGTGCCACAGCGGGCATGCAGAGCCCTTTCTGTTGGCATGCGAGCCCAGTCACCCCAGCATCGCTCCAGCAGTCAAGCATCGGATAACAATGCACATAGGGACCATGCCCATGCTCGGAAAAGAGTAGCGGCACCAGGCAATGGCATCATGGGCCGTGACTAATTAGCTGCGACTCGTCCAAGCTTTCGCACGGCCAGTCAGTGCGCTGTCAAGGATATATATACATTTGCTTGGACAGGCTGTGAGGTTTTTTCCCTAAACTAAAACCTCAGTTTTCAGGTTTTATTGTAGTGTTGGCACTTTGTGATAATTAAGTGAGTTTTGGGTTGCAGTTTCGGCACTTGGTCTCTAAAAGGTTTGCCATCACTGTTCTAGATCTTCTGGCCTACAACTTCCACAGGCCTTCCCCATTGACTGTGCTACTATGGCTGTAGGCCAAAACATTTGGAGTACCCCAAGTTGCGCAGCCCCAATGTATATAGGGCCACCAGTGCAACTATTCAGGTCTCTGATCCCGAAACTGAAGCACTATAAGAGCAATACATGTACTGGGTAGAAGACTGACAGGACTTATAGGAATGAAGAACCGTTCACACCAATTCAAAACCATATCAACCAGTCATTTGATTCAATAGCTACACTAGCCTTGGGCACTGTTAGCCAGGCCCCATCTTGTACAGAGCAACCATCATTGAACCAGCCTGGATCTGCATGATATGGAGATGCCATGTTGTCCAAACCTAGAGAGTTTTCCTGAGAAGGCTTGCTCTTCGCAAGTGAGGCACACAGTGAATCCATGGCTTGCTGCTGGGATTTTCAAACTTCTGGTAGGCTGTCACGTCATCTGAACCCAGGAGACTGATTTTAACTGGTGGTAGCATGATTAGCTACAGAGCCACTCCACAAAAATGCGGAGTTTTCACAATTTTGCCAGCGACTGTCCTACTGCCAATACTGAAAATGCACTTTGGAGGGACTGCCACTTGTTCCCTAGCTTTTTTATTCATTTGTTTTTCAGTGTCTCAGAAATGAGCAATTGAGCTCATCCTTTTTTTTTTTTTTGGGGGGGGGGTCAATCTTTTACAAGTACACAATGGCTACTGAGCCCCTTCCTTTCCCTTACTATTATTTTTTCTGCCATTTTCCTTGTATTTTACCTGCTCCCCCACCCCTTGACAGCTGGAACATACAAAGACATTTGTCAGGCAAAAGATATTGGACAGTTGTAAATGCACACTTGTGTAGGACTGACAAAAATACATTTAAAAAAATTATGACTATTGCCTATTTCTGAGGCACTGAAAAATAAAAAATTAAAACACTGGGGAATGAAAAAGAGTGGAAATCAGAGCAGGAAAACAAGATGGCTTTTACTACAAATATCTGTGGGATACATGCTGGGCAGCTGGAGGACTGAAGGGGAAGGGAGGGGACAGCAATCCTAATCATTTGTAAGGTGTACTGTGCATTGTTCCATGAATAACCAACCCACAATGGCACAATGTGATGTCTGAACCAATGCAGTCAGACTTCCTTATGACCAAACATACATGAAAATGCCCCAAGAGCTAAATTATTACTTGCCCTGAGTAACTACATCTGTACTTCCTCTGTATTTACATCTGTATGTAATCTCATCTGTATTTAGATTACAAACTTTGCATAATTTTACAACCCTCAAGCATAAGCACTTACCCGAAAGTTGGAGTGAACCTTGTTGTTATAGAAAATTCCTAGAGGGGTAAGTTCAGCCTTGGTTTCAGGAAACAATCCATGAGAATCTCCTGTAGGCACCTTGTGAAATATGTACCATATTCCAGCATCCTTGAAATAAGAGGAGACAAATAAGCTTAGTCATGTATCAGGATACAGGGCAGGCTAATCAAAACTGACAAAAATAAATACTTCTTCAGACTAAAAAATTACAAATTATAGAGTTTCCTACCACAAGAGGTGGGACAGCACTTACTTAACTGACTTAAGAAGAGACTTAGACAAATTCATTGAAAAAGCACTTATCAATGGCTATGATTTATGCTACTCTATGTAATACATGTTTTTCAATTGTTCCAGCATGTTTCGAAACCTCTGAGTACCCTGCTGCTACAAGTGAGACTAAAACTAGACATTACCTTGAAATTTTATGTAACTATATCAATGTGTTCTTTTGGACCATGAAAGCAAAGTACAGGGAGCCTAATCTAGATTGAAAACCACGGTGTTTGCTTGTGGGGGAAGGGGGGGGCTTTAAATCTTTGCACTTTGTGATCCCAAATCCTCTGCACTTGCATACAACGGAAGCCCCACTGATGGAAATGGGGACTTTTTTCCCATGGCAAGTGCTGGTATGGAGGACCTGAACCAAACTGGAGTCACAATGAAGGCAAAATACTAAAGAACTCCCTCTCCATGCTAGGTTCTCAATCTGGACTGGGTTCCCCATGAATGCTAACATGCAAGATGACTGTGTGCCGATACAGCTGCATGCTATGTTTTAAAATAAGGTTGGGCGATTTGTCTCCCAGCCCAGATATTTTGGTTCTCCTGTGGTCAGCCCAATTTAAAGGTAACATATCATTTGGGTCTCAGTTTGCTTCTCTCCAGCCACTGCCACTGAGAGGTAATATGCAACTTGGGCCTGAGGGGCTTACTGCCCTAATCTCTGAAGCCAAATCCTGACAAGATGGAAGCCCGGGAGGGACGGCTCACTGTCTGTGCTGGATGGGGTTGCCCTCCCTCTGAAAGAGCAGGGGCATGGTATGGGTAGTCCTTGATCCATCCCATCACTGGCGTCCCAAGGGCAGCTGGAGGCAGGGAGGGCTATTAACCAGCTTCAACTAGTTTGCCCATTAAGTTCTCTCCTGAAAAGGTGGCCATTGTGGTAGAGGTGCTAGTGACCTCTTGGCTGGATTACTGCAAGATGCACTCTGTGGGGCTGCCCTTAAAGCTGATCTGGAGGTTGGAGCTAGCACAGAATGCAGCAGCTTGTCTGTTGTTTCAGGTGCAAAATGTTACTGGGGTAAAAGGATACACTTTACATTCCCTTTATGCTATACTGAATACCAAAATAAAGTGACAGATTATTTTAAGTTTTTCTATTATTACTACGTAATAATTGCTCAGCACTGTGCTATATAAGCAAAAAATAATGACAAAAAATTTGAAAGAATATCTGGCCAATTTGGATCTTAGCACTAAAATTAAATTACCATCCAACCATTTTAAGCCATTTTTCTTTATGCTTACATTAAATGTTTCCTATAAACTAAAATAAATTGCTGCCTATTGAATAATTATTTTTCACTTTCAAACCCAGCACAATTCTACTGAAATGGAAACATAAATAAATACTGGTAAGGTAAAAATGTTATTCTGCAAGCAACCTGATTTCTAAGACTGGTATTATAATGTTTTCTGAATAGAGACAATCAAATTCTTTGGTGCCTATCTGGGATTGAACATTTTGCATCTGGCATACTTACAAAACCAGTTTCAGTATAAAAGCTGAAGACAACTCTGGAAGAAATGGACATTTATGCTTTAAACAGTATGCTTTTGTCTTATAGAAAAATACTATTTTATCACATTGCACCAGGAGCCTCACCTGTGAACCTGCTGCTACGTTATTTATTAGGTGATTATTGGGATGAGCAATCCAAAATGTTGAAACAGCCCTGCAAGAAATAGGTGAAACAGATTGTAAATTGCAAGTCCACTGAGAACCCATGAATTTAATAACAAGAAAGTAAATCATTTCTATCAAAGCAATGTTCACTATATTCTGTGGAGAGGAAGCACCCTTTGCATTGAGTTACAATGTTCAAATACCACATGAACCACCAATTCAGTGTTGGGCAACAGACTGGATTATTCCTCTCTGGCTATTTGGAAGAGACTTGTGTTCCTACAATGAGGGAAAGGAGATTGAAAAGCAATGGCATACAGGCCAGATCATCTAGGAGAGGATGTTCAATATGATCCTTCAGGATGAAATCCTTCTCTACACAAAGGCCAAGATTGCACATCATGAGAGTCCATCCTGTGAATAAGCTGTGCAGGGCGTGCCCAAAAGACCATCAGGCCTACTGTGGGCTGCCTCGCTTTGCCTTGCCTCGCCCTCCTCCAGTCTTCCTGCTGGTATCCCAGGGGTACCACACATGCAACAATCCAGCAGAAGTCTTTTAAAGGAAAATAAATGGAGAACAGATGTGTCTTTAGCAACCTTTGACAGGCCCAGCAGTTATGGGTCCTGATATCCCACAACTGGCAAGAAGTGGGCATGTAGGTGGGGCTTCAGAGGCAGCTCTCCAAGTCACGCAGTTTGATGCAGGTGAAGGTGGTCCTCTGCGTTACTAGGTTGCAAACATTTTCAGACTTTACCGTCTGGTTTTAACAGCACCTTATATTGAAATGGACCAGGAACCTGTGCAAACAGAGCCAAGGAGATGCCACACGATCCAAGCTCTGGAAGCCACATTTTGCACTAACCAAAGTTTCAAAGAGTCCTTAAAGGCAACCCAGTATAGAGCACATGACTATAGTTCAGCCTGGAATACCACTGGTGCACAGATGCAAGGTCCATCCACTCCAGCCAGAGTCACAGTCAGCCAAATTTGACAAAAAGCACTCCTGACCACTGCCACAAACCACTGAGCCCAAGAGGACTTTCAGCATGTGCACTGAGTCTTGCACTGCTTTTTCTACCCCTTCAGATACTCACATGCAGTCTGTGGTTGGCACCGGCTCATAATTCCCATAGACATGATCCCGCATGGCCAAGCACATTGTACTATTCCTGTCCGTTGGAAGAAGCGTGCCTGGTTTAGTGACTAGTCCAAGATTATGAAACAGCGTATTCCTCTGCTCGATGCCATCCTCCATGAAGAAGCAGTGGCCCAGTGTGTCATAACCAATGGTGTCCTTTATCTGCAGGAATACAAGTTTGTTACATCATTCCCAAATGCCTATATTCAGACATTTGATTACATTTGATTATCTTGGCACAGCTGCAGCAAGAAAGACATTTCAGTGTTAGCAATGCAACAGCACACATAATGACCCACACAAATTATCTCCTTACAAATCCAGAAATTTTGAGATAAGCTTAAGATTCAAATTCTTGTCAGAAGCATTTATGGACCTCATTTTCTTCAGATAGATCTATACTTTTCTATGTAGGTAGCCCCCCCTCAAAAAAAAAAAAAAAAAAAAAAAACCCCCAGCAGTAATCACTTAGTTGATGCCAATGGTGTTAGGAAAATGCTATCCCCACAAGACAATTCCTTGACTTGGTTAACCCTTGTCCAAAACATGCACCCCCATTTCACACATGGACATCTATTAAAGGCATGGAGAAGTGTCCTTCTGGTTCAGGTTTCTGGTACAAGCAGACTACCTGGATAACAGGTGATGTGGAATTTAGTCTCAGTTACCAATGCTAGCCCAAACAGTTGCATACTTCTATGCATACAAAACTCAGCCAAAAGGAAGTCTTATCCTCCATTCTCCTCAGATATAAACCACTCAATCTCAAAGCCAGATCAGGAATTCCCCAGAAGGAAACTTTGCACTAGGAAGGGGGAAAAGATGAGAAAAGGGAATGAGAGCTTGATCCTGCAAGATACCCGTACTATTTTAGTCTTCACACCAGTCTGTATACTTTTAACCAAAACTGCTAATACAATGTCAGTCTTTTAATCAAAAGACAGATGGATGGGATTGCATAATGCCCACAGCTTTACAGAATTAAAGAAATGTAAGTTTTGTTCTTCCCAACTCTCATTTTCCGACCAATAATTTCAAAGCTGACTTATTCATTTTTCTTACCAGCAAGCCATTTGTTGCATGAATAGTCACACATCTAGAGAAACAATGATGAATAGAAAGACCTTCTACATAAGTTCGGTAGCTGTATCCTCCCTTCTCATCCACATCTCCACAGCGGTGAAAATGAACTGGGTAAGTTCCATGAACCTGCTGACCCATTTGTTTGAGTTCCACATAGGAGAGGTGAACAGATGTGAAATTCTTCAAAATCTGTAAGATAACCGAATTGTTCTCTCACTGATTGTATTTTTTCAGATCAACAACTGTTGGTCAGTTTACAAGCTTTAGGACATCCATAAGATCAGGAAAAACAGCCAAGCTGGATCAGACCAAACTTCCATCTAGTCTAGCATTCTGTTCTCACACCAGCTGCCCAGAGCAGCCTCCCACCCATGTTCCCCAGGGACTGTGCACACAGACAGAGTGCGTCTGAAACTTGAGGTAGTGTAGTATACAGCCATCAGGACTAGTAGCCCTTGATTGCCTCATCCTCTGTGAATTTGTCTGATCCCTTTAAAGTCACCCAAATTGGCCACCATGACTGCAACACGTAGAAGAGAATTCCATCCATATAATCAAATTACAAATGTGACTGTGCCGAAGGGGATCCAAAGCAGTCCTCAGTCCTATGAGAAATACAGTTATATGGAAGTGAAAAGAGCAAAGAATGTACTTTCAATAAGCAAGGTCCCAAGCTCGGCCCCACTTAAAGAATTTATTTCAGGTAGCAGAAATGGACATTGAAGAGCTGACACCCATCACAGCAGGCAAGACCAGGCAGGCTTGGTTTCAAGGCAGCTTCATCTCTTCATGTAACATCAAACACTCGGTATATGCAATGCAGGGCCGGGCAACTTGTTTTGCTGCCCAACTCCCACTACCCTTGCCAGCATAGCCAATGGTGAGGTTGAAGACAGCTATAGGCTGAAACATCTAGAAGACCACACATTGCCCAGTTGACTGCATAAAAAGGAATGTAATTCCCTACATTAGCCAATGTCTACAAGAGCATAAGCTACTATGAGATATGACAGGATGCAATTAATATCTCTCCCCCTGCCCCATACCTTGATTTGTCCACCAAAAGTATCATAATTGAAAAACCGGCATTCTTTGCCAGTGTAGCAGGAATCTTCCATCTCCCCCTTTATTAAGATGTTCCTGGTGAGAACTCCAACCTCAGCCCTCATGTCCACTCCGTCAATGATTTCTCCTGTATGATGGAACTGAGTAGTTTCTGTTTCAGAGAGATTTTCAAATGAAAAGCAAATGAGAGGAATATGGGAGAGTTGATTCTTCTCTATTATATGCCTATGTAACCTATTATCACAGATAGTTCTTCCAGTCACTTGCCCTTGCCTATATTCCATCCAGAATTGGCTCATAGGGATCTGGTACTTCTGACATTGGCAGAAAAGTATATGCATCAGAAATCAACTACAGGAGAACCACTAAACTTGACTTCACCCTCAACATCAACAAAGGAGTGTTGATATAAATACTTTTATATTTTTGGAAAACTAAACTTTCCTGAGTTATGACAGCAACTCTTTTATGATCTGCTTTACAGGTGCTTTGAGCTACAACTTTTTCATGTTGGCTAGCACATGGTAGGCATGTTGTAAGAAAAGCCGGCTAGAGCCAGGGTTCAGAGCAGATAGCCTGGCAGGCCCCTTCTGACTTGCTGTTTCTATGTTAAAAACTCTCTAATCCATGTTTGTTTTTGTTATTTGTATTCTCTGCACTGCAAAGCAGGTACTCACGCACCAATTTTTTAAAATTTGCATTTTAAGTACACAAAATGTCTTAATGGTGGGCCTAAAACCAAGTTTCTACTTGAACAGGTAACTGTTCATTAGGAACAAACCATGTGGCATGAGAAAACATCACTTTAAGTAAAAAATTCTAACGTTATTGACACCATATCCAAAAGTAGCAAGAGCTCTCCCATTAACTACCTATTCCCAGTAGTAAGCACAAGAAACAACAATACTGCAACAAGTTGTGGTAAGGTCATGTAAAGATGCACACACGTATACACATAGCTTTGGAAAGGACTGGTTGTACAACTGCAATGAAAGCAGCTTCACTTCTTTGAATGCACCAACACAGCAGCAGCAATTTTGATATCTAAAAAGTAGGCATTTGGTAAACGGAAAAATTGCCATTGACATCACTTTTTCCTTTTACCATTCAGTTCCACCATAGAAACCTCCCTCCTAACCACACAATGTTTAATATTTCTATAGCACTCCCAAGTGTTCTGAATGCTTCATATGCATTATCAAATTGTAATCCTAACAACAATCCTGTAAGATAAGCTGGTTTGAGTGGAGAAGCCAAGGCTGAAGTTGGCCTGCTTGCAGCCCCCAAGTAAGTTCATGGCAAAGCCAAGCTTTCAACCAGCTTGCAACAGCCTGATCTCTTTACCACAATGCTAGACCAGCTCTCAAGCTGCATAATGGAGAATTCATTAAAGCTCCCTAGCAGGGTACAGTGCCTGAAGCCAAACATCCAACAAAAATGCCTAAAGTGCAAGATATGATAGGGGCACCTGTGGAAACACAGAGGGAAGCACAAAGTGATGGTCACTGGGGGGTATCTGAATGATGCTGGCAGGCCCGCTGCCCACCCCTCAGTGGCAGTTCCAAAACAGGCAGGGTCACGGATTACAAAGGGGCAGGATTCTCTCAGTACAGGGCCTGGTACTGGCTTTGTCATGTGTTACAAAGAAAATGATCGGGTATATGATAATCCTCAAACATCAGCTGTTATCTTCAACTGTATGGGAAACTATTTAGGATCTAAACTCTTCAATTAACTTGAATAAAGGCCACTCAGGACTCCACCTGTGTTCCTTGGTGGTGGTTGGGATCCAGGTGTGTGGAATGAAGTTGGCAGAAGTGGGCTTCTCCTGCACCCCTGTGGCAGCTTCTCCTTTCCTCCACTCAAAAAAAAAATACTGTGCTTGGGATGGGGGGACTGTTGAAGGAGGAAGTCTGTGATGCAGGGTCCAAGGAGGAATGGTGATCCCAGAAAGAGTGTGGAGGCACCTCTCATGAGCAGCTGGCATAGGGAGGAGAGCGCAGGAAGCCTTCTTCTGCCTGCCTTGCGGCACACGCACAAGTTTGGATCCAACCCATCCCAAGACACACAGTAATCTATGCAAATATAATAATCATTTGTACTGTATGATTCTTGCCACAGAAATTACTTGAGAGAGCACTCTCACGAATGTGAAATGCCCCCCTGTACATTGGCAAACAGCCTAACGGTATATGAATCAGAGCAAGATCTGCTATGACACTCAGTAATTACTTTCTTCCAATTTCTGCAACATGCTGACTTTATGCAAGCCTTATTTATCCCAAAGATTAGGACATGATGCTCACACTAGATAAGGCTAGTGAATGACCTACATTCAAAGCTTCAAAAGCTAGAGAGACAATATGGCTCTCTATGTCTTAAATAGCCTTTTATTCCTTCTTCTTCACCAGAATGGGAAAAACAAAAACAAAACAATGAAACCCACTTCTGCCACAGTAAAGATTCCTGTTACTAGTAGATGGGCCTCATGATAGAGATAACAGAAAATTCAAATAGACCATCAAAAGAGAGAAGCTATACTATTCTGAATCTCAGTCTATAAATTCTGAATTACTCCTTCCAAAGATTTGCAATGGACACGTTAACATGTATATATATGTTCTGTAAAACTCTTACAAATGTCTGTGTAATGACTCTACCATCAATGGTACAAGGACTGTATTTCTGCTGCCCACACCATACTTATAATATATAAATTATTTCAAGCAAACGTAAGACACAGAATCAATTCTTATGAACATACAAGCTGTAAAAGTAGCAAGGAAAAATCTTCATGTCCAAGGACGCTGCTCTGAATGTTTAACAGCCCAAGTGAAGCTGATTTCTTGCACCAAACTCCAGCAAGAGTGTATGTACTTGAGAAGCAGGAAGGGACGAGGTTCTTGACAGATTTTTGGAACGCTAAAGGAAACTAGATATTAAATGAATAGAAAGCCGAGGAACTACTACCATATGGGAATAATTTGCTTGCCTTTCCTTGCTCATGTGAGAGAGTTGGCACTAGCTTTCTGCAGATGCTAAAGTCTGAGGACTAAGAGAAACAGAGAATAAAATTTCACCAGTAAGACGATGAGCTCTGTATTTCAAGCAGAAGGGGCAGCAAAACACACCAGGAAAAGGTTGCCCCAGAGAATACTCGGGATTCATGTGAAACTAAAGACACAAACCACTGAGAGGAAATAGGTATCTTTAAGTCAGCTACACGCTCCTTCGCACACAACTTTAGGTGCTAAAAACACCTTCCCACCCAGCATAACTTAGCTTCCTTTCTCTCCTCTCCCACCTATGCTACAATGTCCATGTTTGGATAATGGTGTGTCTGCCACTGGCTCTCCCACATCTCAGAGCTTTGAAACACCACTGCGTTCCTTTCAACCCACTCCACTTTCATCCACTCTGAAGTAGCTACTAATTACTGATCCTAGCTGGTGACAAGTTACCCACTTTTCCACCAACCGCCTGATCAGCTGAACCTTTCTAGATGGGACAAAACATGGTAGCGGAATACTGCTGAGCCCTGGTCACACACACTGCTCTCTTCTTGTGTCTTTCTCCCAGCCAATCCAGACAGGAGGCATGGAAACAGCAGAACTTTGGCACCTTGAGCAAATCCCTCACCTTCTGAACTGCCTTGGGATTGTGGTGCAGCGAAGGAGGACGTATGAGGCAGCAGCAAGAGGGCTGCTGTCCACTACTGCAACACTTAAAAGCAGGCCTCTGGTTTCAATAACTAGCATATGACAGCCACTTGTCTCTCCACCACTGGGGACAGGGGAACACTTCTAAGATTGACTGATTATGTCTGGACAATGAAGGTTGCAATCCTAAGCACACTCATGTGGGTGGAAGCCCCACTGTTACCTGTAAGTAGATGCGAAAAGGACTGCATGTAGGAAACACCAGGTTTAATCAAGGAACAATTAATAACGAGAGCCAACCTTTTATGCAGAATTTTTGCTCCATCAGCATGTGAATTCCTTACACATCCCACACAAAGCCTGAAAAATGGCAGCACTTCACAAGGCAATCTTGCTTTCTTCCAATACACTAGTGCTACACTGGCATTTTCCACAAGGGAAACAAAGTGTGAATGAGAGAAGTAGATTGTTAAAATCCTAACTGGGCCATAAACTTCCCCATGGAAAAGCATCTGTTGTTCACAGTTTCGGGAAATGCTAACATAAACCTTGTGTAGGCAGAAAAAGCACAACTGTTATGCAAAGTCTGAAGCCAGACCAAGGGCTGCTTTTCATAAAGGCCCTGTGTAGAAACAATACTGGCAATCTGCTGGCTATGTTAAATAGCCAGGAGTAGTTCACAAGAATCACACACTTCCCCAATCTCTTGGGAGAGAATCCTCAGTTCCACCCTCAACTTTAAATATAACATCAGCGATAATGTTCACCATGGGAAGGGTAATTAGAACATCATCCAGATGTTAACCAAACCACTGAATTATGTGGAATGGTTATAATTTCTAAGGTAACTCTTTTCCTATACTTGCTCAAAGGGTACTGCATCGATCCATGCTCTGGCTATCCCTTGCTACTATCAATCTTATCTTCCCTCTAAATGGGTAAAGTCAAGTTTAAAATAAAAATAAAAGCTTAAATACAGTGACTATTCCTTTCAAGGAACAGGCATAAGCAGTAAACCATGATGCAGTATCAAGAATTTTAAAAAATCACATAGATGAGGGTGCTTTATCTTTCAATGGTGGAACTGATACATAAAGCACCAGGGGAATTATTTGCTTTTGTTCTTCAAGTTGGAGTCAGTGCGGTGCAGTGGTTAAGAGCCCAGGTCTGGGACCCAAGCCATCTGGGTTCTAGTCTCCACTCTGCTATGGAGCCGACTGAGTGACTTTGGGCCAGTCACAGACTCTCAGCCTGTTCTACCTCACAGGATTGTTGTTGTGGGGATAACATTGAGAAAAGGAAGAGGAGAATCATACAAATTGCTTTGAAGTCTTCAAAAAATAAAAGGTGGGATAGAAACTCAGTAAACAAATAAAGTTGTTTCCCTCACTGGACTAGTGCTTTTCATTTCTTACACTCACCAAAAGACACTTTCAAGGTCTCATCAGGGAAGGAATGAAACATGTAGAAAGAGTCCAGTGTGAAAGAGTCCAGTGTTTCCTTCTTAAGCAATATATGAATGCCTGATTAGCCTTTATTTGACTAAAGCTGTTGTGGGGGGGGGGCAGTGTGACAGAGATGTCCTATAAAAACAGAAAAGAGATTGGGCCCAGGAGGGGAGAGGACATGCGCTGTTCTATCAATGCAGTGAAGCTGAGGAGGTCTACCACGAGCTGCTGTAGCAGACACGGTACAAACTGTACAACAAAGGATAGTGACAGTCAGCATGGTTAAGAGAGCAGCTCAAAAGAACTGAGTGCAATGAAAGTGCACAGAAATCAATAAAAGGGAAGCCGTTATCTTATAAGAGGCAGAGCTGTGCTTTAATTAAGCCCAGTTCAAACCAGATTTAAACATATGCTACAAATGATGAGATCTTGATGCTGCAGCAGGGTCAAATGAGGATTTCAGACAAGAATGGATATTAAGCAGCTAGAAAAGGTTCTCAAAGCCAGAGCATCACTGTAAATTAATATTTAATTTGTATTAATATAATTTGTATTAATATTAATTAATTTGTATTAATATTAGGCAGCAAGGCCACAAATCACAGGGAAAACAGAACTGGCAATGCTTATTCTTGCCATCACCCTTGAGCTCTTACCTTTAACTTTGACTTGAAATCTGTTGCATTCTGGACAAGGAAGGAGGGTAAATTCTTCTGCCTGGTACATAGAATAATCAGTACTTGCAACAACAATCTGATCTTCAGGCTTCCAGGTACTAACATCTTCTGACAGATGCAGTATCACTCCATCTATCACTTCAACCTGGAAACCACATCTTGGAACACCTTAGACCAAAAAATACATTATTTATCCGGTTTTTAGTCTTTTTTAAAAAAATCTGTCACTTTTTCATATGGTACAAGCATCAAGACAGTTCAATCTATATTAAAGTCCAATCAACACAATTGCGAAATCATCACTCAGTGCTGGAGGTAAGATTATCAAGTACTTATCTCCCTTCCTGTTCTCCCTTCACTGCTCCACACCCAACTTACTGTTCTTGCAGCAACACCAAGCAATGCGACAGTGATAAAGGGCCAGAGCGGGTTTTCCTTCATGCTGAGGGGAATCCCTCAAAGTACAAGGAAAGCTATTATGTTTAAAAGACAAAAAGGAAACAGGGAAAAGAACAACACTGCCACTCTTGTGTGATGAGGGCTGTAAATGCGTAAAACGCTCCCAGGGAAGCGATTCTATTAACCAGGCAGCACATCTGAGGAGGTTATTCCTTGCATAGCGCCCTGCCTAACTTTCAGGCACAAGTTAAAGCTGCATTGAACCAGCTCTAGAAAATCAGCTTCATCCAAGAATGCCTGGAGCACTTGAACACTCAAGCACCTTGTTCTTCACTTCTGGGCCCAGGTTATTTTTCTTAATGAGTGGCCTGATCACCATCTCTTTCAAAGAGGCTGGTAGCATCCTCTCTTTTGAAAGAATAATTTATAACCTCCTGGACCCAGCTGGCCACTCCCTGAAGTACTGAGCCACAGCAGCCCTGACATGGATGTTAAGGGTCCTCAGGACAATCAGCACAGGCAGTGGGATCGGTGGTACGTCAACAGAATCCCTGCACTTCTCTCCCTGCATGATGGCTTGAGAAAATGGGGGCAACTTCTAAACTTCTTTTTATTTATTATTGTTTTATAAAACAAGTGGGAGGGGGCAGAAGAAAGTGCTTGCACAGCACAAGTGGAAGTTAGGAAAGGGAACTAGGGAGTTACTGAGAATCCGTCAAATGTACCAGCATGAATAGCTAGCTGCCCATCAGAAGCACTTGCTCTGTAGTTAGACGAGCAAAGATAAAATCTAGTCTGTAGCCAATATGAGACACAGTTAAGTATGAACTTCTAATTTTTGCCTATATACTCTTGGCATGCATATAACAACCTATTTTCTCCTTCCTGTTGGATCAACCTCAATAAGCGTGCTTCCTTTATTAAAACACACTTGATGGCAAGTAATTACTCTTCCAGCACATTAATGAAGAACTTGCCAAGACCATAGTTTCTTTTTCCTGCTTGAAGTGGCTAAGGACACTTTGCAATTACTATACACCCACATACATAACAGTCTAGGGTTCTTTTCACCACCTTCTGTTTCTCTGGCTAATAAAAACAGTTTAGATCAAGGCATTTTATTCTGTCAGAGACACCTGATAGGGTTTCTCCAGAAATATCTTTCCAAGATGTATTTAGAAAGACTGAAATTTTATAAAGAAATTTAAAATAATGCAATAAATAAACATCTGCAAAGCCAAGTTGTTTGGTTTGGTTTGGTTTGCCAACAGTAGGTCACCTACTGTTCCATCTTACTGAATTCTCTCTCTCTCTCTCTCTCTCTCTCTCTCTCTCTCTCTCTCTCTCTGCCTATAAATACAGGGACAGAAAAGTCTACATTTCTTTTCAATCTAGATTTTAATGTTGAGCCAACACAACTTCTGACTTCAAACCGTATCACAGCATGTCATAAACAAAACACAGGTACACAGCTGCAAGGTGCATTCACAGTTAAGTTCCAGCTGCATAAGATACTTGGAAATGATTTTATTACTATTTTTGAAAAAAAAAAGGGAAAAAAGAGCATGTTCCTACCAGCACTCCATTCACTGAAAGCTCTCACAACAAACTTCTGCCCATCCATTGTAAAAAATTCTTTTTGTGCAATAGCCTTGCCTCCTGTGCTGCCATTTTCATACTCTCTCACAGATTCGTTACAAGATGAATTTCTATCACCAATTACACCAACTAAAGCCCAGGCCTGCCTGTAAAGGATAAAGCACATGTTTAAAGACAAAATCCTCCCTGAAACACAGGTCTTGACATGTAGCATGCAAGCAGATATCAGCAGAAAGAGAACTACTCATTTTCTGGAATACTCTCTAAAATGCCTAGCTGTATTTGAAAAAAGGAAATTCATGATGTTAGCGCCTAAGGTGGTACGTGATGGCCCACTTAGGATTGCTATCATCCTACTTGTGAGAAGTCACGAGAAAGGGCACCAAAGGTTGCATTTTAGAATATTACCAAGAATACTTGGGGAAGTACAGAACATGAGGGCTCTGAGAAGTTGTGTAGCAGTTTGTGTTGAGTTCCTGGAACCTTAACTACATATAAAAGAAAAATCAAAATAAGAATAGCTCAGCTCAAAAACTCCATGTAAAGGGGATATTAGATTTAGTTATATTTCACAGTTCTCATCAAGTCTGTACATTTCCCTTTCCCCTCAGTACTAAAGGATACATACATACATATATATGCACGTAAGGGTGTGATCCAGCGCGCTCCACTCTGCTTGCATGGAAGCCTACAAACTTGGGGGGCGTATCGGCAATCTAAGACATGAGGTGTGGTAGCAGTGCTGACCATCTTTGCCTCCATGATCCTTGTGCCCTGCATTTTGTCAAGATGCCATATTTTGGCCATCGAGATGAAGTCCCACAAAGGAGGAGAAAAGGAGGCTGGGTCCTCATCTGGAAACAGCATATGCTGTCAATCCCAGCCTCCTCCCCTCCCTCCTGCATGCCCCCTTCCTGCTCTCTGGGGCCAGTTTACACCTTTGGAGTGGCAGCTAGCACAGTTCGTTCTGTGCTGGCTGCATGGGGTGAGAGACTGGCATTCAAAGTCCCAGCTCTGAGTTCACAAGACCTGCAAGCTGGGCTCGGAATAGCCCTATGCCAGCCGCCAGCCCCCCAAAAAGTTGTGAGACCACAGAAGGAAAAATGTTTAAATTATCAAGATACCTTTTATATATAGATCTAAATACACTGGAAGAGCACATTTGGTGTCTCATTTGGCTTTTTTATTTTTAGCAAAAGTTAAAAGAAATTCTTGCAATTTGCACATTCCAAATAACTCATCCCATGGGTTATTGTAGGGCGGTTTAACCTGCCAACAAGCCCAGCTGCCTGGCTTTGGATGATACAATCAGCCACAGCCAGGTGGTGATTATGCAGATTATGTCTAGCATGTGCCGCAGTTCACACCAAGCCATGATAGCTTGTTCTCATCATGCAAACCAGACTGCACAGAAAAGAATCACATCCTGTGCCTCATGAACAGGCCAGATTGACCTAGGTTTCCTACTGTAGTGGAATCAAACAGCATTTTAAAGAACATTCTTAAGGCAGTCCTACATGAAGCATCAATGATGGGAGGGTGGAGAGGAGAAGAAAGAAGTTACAGTGCCTACCACTTCCAAAGACTGGTTGATAACAGATTGCCAGGGCTGCAGTTGGACATTCTAGTGGGCTGGCATAAAAGCCCTCATTGTAGACACCCCATAAATTACACACTTGAGATCAGAAAGCAAGCCAAGATCCGGCTCTGCACTCCCCTCCCTAGCGCCCACTTCGACATTACATTCATGCCTTTATGGTTAGTCCTGATTTTCCTCCTATTAGTGCTAATCTAAGCCAGCTCTGACTTAACAGTGCTGCAGCCAAGGGATTTCATTCTCTCCCTACCACCCCTCTTCCCCTTCAGGTTGCACGCCAAGTGGTATCAACATTTCCAGCAATTATTTCATTTAGGACTTCCAGAACTGGGTTGCTAAACTTAAGGATCACAGGCCTATTGATGAAAGCTGCTGCTTGGTAGACTGAGCAAGCATTCTGATCCATGCACTTTCTGAAAAACATGCAAGTCGCTGGCTTTGAGCGACTACAAGTCCCGGTGCAATTCCAGACCAGGCCAAGGCTATCCCTTCTCAAGGGATTTCCCCAAAGGACAACATGTCAGCTGAGTCATCTTGTACCATGGCCACTCCCTGCACCAGAATGTTTACATATTATAACATTTACATCCTGGCCTTTTTGCTCTTGCAAGGAACCCAAGACGGCTTGCATGTTCTTCATTTTCTACCCTAACCCAGTGGTCTTTATGGCCAAGTGAGGACTAGAACCTGGATCTCCCGAGTCCCAGTCCTACACTCAACCCACTACAAACCATTCTGTGCTGGCTCTCACAGAATCATTACAAGAATCAGCAGCACCCTAAAGGGGTGGGAGGGAAGGGCATGGCAGAGGCAATGCTACCCTGCTTCCCTTCCAAGGTATGTGCTGTGCAAGGCTGGATTCCCAAGAACATGAATCCTATGATGTATTGACACTGCAGAAGGCACACCAGCACGCCCACCTGCCCCCACTCCTTGCTGCCGGCTGGCAGCCCACCAATTTCACAACTACCAGGACACTGCAGTCTTGAAGAAGGTCAGCAAAGAAGGTCAGTGGGGAGAGGCAGACAGAATGAGATGGGACACACGTCCAACACCTCCAAAGGACCAGGCACATGACAATAACAAACACAGGTGAGCAACCATCCAGGTTGGAAGATACTACCTAGCCTGTGAGGATGTCAGTAGGTGCAGCACTAGCTATCTGAAGGTGAAGACATACAAACATGCTAAAATATGGTTCAAATGCTTTGAGTACACATTATCTTGACTATGAGGCATCTGTTCTCAGAGCACAGGATGTGAGACAATGTGTGATTTAAGACAATACCACCCTGTTTTAACTTTATCTGTGGTTGGAGCAAAGCATGAGGCATTCAGTAGGAATTACTTCTTACTACAGTTGGAAGACAAGCCTTGCTAACTGGTTTAAAAAGCATGCCGAGGAGGATTCGTATTCCTTCCAGAAAGTCTATGAGTTGGGCTGAAAGCTCTGAAGAAGATATACTTGTCAGGCATATAAATTTCCTCTATTTTGAATTCCCCAGTAGTTTCAACTGATAATGCCCCCCTGGGGGGGATGATCCCACTGGAGAATAACAACTCATGTGTTCATCCAGTTCATCCCAGATTGTGCCCCAAATGCACTCCCTGTACAAGCTAGAAAAATGCAAACTAATAGCAATGCCAGAGCCCTAACAATGAGATCAGTAAGTCTGTTGATGATTATAGGCTTGGAACAACTTCCAATTTCCAAGCATAAGAAAAAAAATCAGTGCTGAGTAAGTAAAGCACCAGTCCACTGCTGTGTAAGCACCAGGTGCCAGCCCTTCAAGGGCTCAAACTGCAACCAGCCAGAATAAAAGCCGCAGAAAGAAATAAACTTCTGGCATTTCCTATTCATTCAGATTATGAATCATAATCAGATTATCCCTGACCTTCTACTACTAGAGCACAGGGCCTCCTCAAAAAGACCTTATTGGATCAACCATCACATCCTGTTGGTCTCACCTTCTCAACTTATGTGAAGGTGCAGTTCCACAGCACTCAGCTCACGGCTCCTCTGAAGCCGACCTTCATTTCCTCTGAAGTGGATCATCTTCTACCAACAGGAAGGCAAAAGAGGACACCCCTCCTCCCACCAAAAAGGCAAGTTTCAGTGTATCGGGGTGATTCCTGTACTGAATATTCAAAAGCATTGTGTTCCCAATGACAGCTGCTGGGGAAATGAGGCACATGCTCCCTACATGCCTTGCTGTTCAGCATTGGAATTTTGGTGCCGGTCATCTTCAGTGGTGGGATATGGCTGCCATGTATGTTCCCCAACCCTCCAAATTCCCTACCCCTGCTATAAGCTATTAGGAACTCTCATCTTCCCTATACACCTTCCTGTCCCCTAAGATCTGCAGCAGAAGCCCTGCTCCAGGAACCCTCCTTGAAGGTTAGGAGAGTGAACACCTGGAGGAGGACCTTCTCTGTGGTGGCACCCTGACTGTGGAATGCACTCCCCAGAGAGGTTCCCCTGGCGGTGGGTTCATATTCTTTCTGGCACCAGGTAAACAACTTTTGATTCACCCAACATTTTAAGGTTTAAAAATCTTAATCTGGTTTTATCAATATTCTCAGTTGCATTTTGTTATTGTATTTTTGATGTTTACTTATCGCTAATTTATATTTTAAGCCATCCTGGGATTATGTAAGACAGGATAAAAATATTGTAAGTAAGTAAATAAACAAGCTTCAAATGTCCTGGGGAAAAAACTAGTTAGGATAGGAAGGGTGCTTGCTACAATAGGGAGAAAAAACTCTCACCCAAAAGTCCTTCCAAGCTGCCAGCTGGTCTCACACTATAAAAGTTTGTCCTATAAGCTTTCAACTGATTGCATGAAATTAGATTTGGGAAATTCACACCATCAGTGCTAATTCCCTGATAGCACATGTTCTCCAGCTCAGGGTCTAAGACATAGATCAAGCAAACTCTGTTTGATTCAAGAAATGCTGATTGGTTAAAATTGAATCTGCAACATTTGAAAATGGCTGCTAACAAATCTTGTTCTTAATTATCCTACTCCAACTTGTCATAATGCTGGAATAACTGTAGCCCCAATCTGTACATATGAACTATTCCAAACTGCAGAACATTTACTCTTGCCCATTTTAATGTGCTACCATCAGGACTATTAAAAGGATCATTTAGTAAGATCCCAGTCCATTAACAGTTATCAATGAAATATTCTCTTCTAGTGCAGGTTTTATAGTGGATGCACAGAGAAATTAATAACAGGTTTTTATGGTAATAAACCTTCCACTTTGGTTTAAAATATGTATCTTTTGTTACTGGAAAGTTTGCCAAATTTTTATGACTGTTATGAAAATTAGGGAACAATCTTGTCATCTTCCTGAGTTAAGATACTGTGTACACTGCATTCATTTTAATTGCATTTTTAGTTTACTACTGCTATTTTTATTTATTAATCTTGCAGGTCTGTAACAGTAATAAATGAAATGAGCAATTTTTTTCTAAAATGGCACCTGTACTATGAATGTCTAAGTACATGCAATCAAAATATATTTCAAACATAAGGTGCTGCTTGATTCATTGGGAAGACCTTAATCACCTAAGTATTGCAGCTCTAAAACAAAAAGGTCCAGGTTATACTCTTCTTCAGACAGTTGGTTACACTCTCTCTGTAAAAGTTCCATATAGATCATGGGGACACCTCCCTCTCCAAACTGGACCACCGAATTTCAGGGCTGGTTGCTCAGCCAGTCTTGAACATCCATGATTTAATGCTGTTACTCATGTTTTGAACTTAGTAAATAGCAGCTTGCAGAATAACCATTCCCAGCCCAACACCGTAATGCAGCAGCTGAGTAAACATGGCGAATTTTTGTTGCAGGCTCCCACTTCTCCAGTGTGATAACTATTCAACAAATGTCAACAACTGTGCATGGTTTGCTGTTCAGTAAACTAAACAACCCATAAACAACCCAGAGTTTTCAAGTTCACACATAACAAGTGTGTGTCTTGCACTCCTTATTCACTTCTGTAATCTGGGGGGGGGGGGGAATAACACTATGACGTACAATTTGCCTTGTTTTCTGCTACCTGGTTTATTAGCCCTAGGGATTTGGGACAAAGCAATAATGGCTGACTCACATTTTTGAAAATATACAGCCCAGAAACTATCCAGATCTGTCTCTAGCTTTGAACACATAGGATCCAGGTTAGGCAGAGAGAAGTAGTAAATGCACACACTGTCAGCTTGAAAATATAGATATGAAACTCTTGTTGCCACCATGCAATACTGAACTGCAACATACAATAGTGCTATGCACATGCATTTGTTTATGTGTTCGAGTACTTCATATTTGAACTGATACGTGTAAAAATTTCCCTTCTCCACTATAAAAAGTCCTTAAGGTGGCTTCTAACAAACAAGAAAGCATCCTAAAACATAGCCATGCTAAAATCAAGCAGTAACACTATTTTATAAAACCCAGAAATAAAAGATAACATATTAAAACAAACAATAATCTGTTTGAAAATAATGAAAAATGTTTATCTGTTTTCTAAAACCATAGGTAGCTAAGGAAATATTACATAACAGTTGGGCAAAGAAACATCACTGCTCTTGAAACTAGCTTTATAGTTTTAGGCATTGGGCCAAAACCTGGTTGTTTAGGAAGGCCTTCCCTGGAAAATTTCTCTCTACTCATTATGAATAAGTTAAATGTGTTTTAATTTCTCTGCGCCTTCACTCTGGTTTTTGGAGTTGCTGCTTATATTGATCATCATCACATTCTTTTATGACATTTTTTTCTGATGTTTAATGCATGCTGTTGATTTGCATTTATTTTAAGTACATGCTATTGTTGTAAGCTGTTTTGTATTCCTTTTCAGAAAAAAGTGGGGGATATAAAGGGAAATATCCAACATCATGCAAGAGAATTTGTGTCATGGGAGTTCCTATTTCTCTCCTCCCTGCTGCTCTGCATATTTACTCCAGGAGGCCCACCAACCCTTAGGAGCAAATTGTAGGGTGCATAAGGTTCTCAGCAGAAAAGGACTCCATTTCACCTGTGGTGCTCAGCTTTGCTGGTCCATGGACATAGCTGGATACAAGTCTTTTTTTAAAAAAATAATTAAAATGTGTATTAAAAAAGCTTTCCAGTTTCCTCTCTCAACTGATTTCAGGAATATGAAAGCTGAAAACAAACCAATTTCACCATTATACTTGGATTCCGTGCCATCCTTTCCTGTCATTGTGACTTTTAATGCCATTCCAGAAAATAATAAAAGCACATCAGGAGACTTTTAACTAGAGATGCACATTTTCAAGAGCCCTCATGGAAGAAATACAATACAAAACAATTCTTACAGCTGCTTCTGAGAGGATTATTTTTCTTGCACAGATTTGCATGCAAAAATGGTTACTCTGTAACAACAAATCCAAGTGTCATTTTTGCTGTGCATGTGCACAAGTGTGGAACAAACCACCAGCTACAGTCATGCTGGTTGTTTCAGCTTCTATAAAGGAGCACAACTTGCTTTCATAGCATCAGGAGTTAAAATATAAAATCAAACAAATCATTAAAATTACTTTTTAAAAGTAATAATCTATACTTAGAAAGTGAGGGCAACCCAGGCCTCATGAACCCTGCCCCCTCGCACACCTTTAAAACAAAAAAGCTAGCAATGCACTGCAATAACGCAATTGAGCATGGCCACAATGTACATCCCAAATGGCCATTTTGTAGCCTACTATCCAAACAATTTTCTCTGTTTTTTTTTTAAAGTGCAGGAAGAACGCTTTGCAGCAGAACCCTTGGGAGGGTTTTGGGAATGCTCATGCGGCCCTGGACTGCCCTCACCCTCTTGAGTGTGGATAACACAAAAGTACAAAAGCACCTCTAAAAAATCCCCAAGAACCTGTGAAAAAAGAGTTTGGTGTATCCTCCTGTATTCTTCCCTCCTTCCAAGCAGAATCCCCAGAGGTTTGGGGTTTTTTGGGGGGCGGGGTACTAGGAAGTCCTCACTGTCCCCTAAATTGTACAATTTACCCTTAGTAAATACCACCTTGGGAAGTAGCAAAATCTGAAGAAAACCGCAGTGGGATACAGACCGCAAGACTTGGGGTGTAAATGGTCAGGCCTGGCTCTTTGCGTGGGGTTTCCCTCACATGCCCCCACCCCACCACTAGCAGGGAATACAGAAGCCTTTCTCAGCTATCCTCAAGTGAAACTCTAGCGGTTTGGGGTCCTTGGGAAAGGCAGTCCTTTCTGTTCCTCTTGCCAAATGGATTTTTTGACCCTTGCTTAGAAGAGTGCTAGGTTCTGACAACATATTAAGTCACCATGGCTTATAAATCACCATGTCTTAACATGTTGTGTGAACCTAGTCAGAAACATCTCCAGAGGACTGGTCTGGTAGGAGATCCAGCTTAAATGCGGTCCAACATCCACTATCAATGCTTGAAATGAGCATCACTAGAGTTAGAGAAAAAAGACCTTTATGCAGTAAGTTTGTAAGTTTTAATATAAAAGTAGGTAGCACTTTTATAGGAATGCCCAAACAAGAGGACATGGTTTTGGGGTGTGCATTGCCATACAGTTTATTGTAATGCCCTTACTTAGGTGGAGGTGGTAGGAGGTACAGAGTTTTGTATATGAGGATAGATGTATATGTGTGCATGTGTCTGATGACTCTTGTAAGCTTACCAAAGCTATAGTTAGGTTAAAATCTGCAAAGTTTACAACCATAAAATACTGCACAGAAATCTTCCTTGTGACACATCTTCAAGATATATTCAGAAACGAAAGAGTTTGCCCCTCCTCAAATCCATGCTTGCATAAACTGGGCACTGACCTAGAATAGTAGAAGGAAGATGGAACTTTGAAGGCAATTTTAATATAAGTTTGTTGGTTTGGTTTGGTTTCTTTGCAAAAGCACAAAATAGAATAATTTTCTTTTTACCTGTAACTCAATCCTTTGATGAGCTTACTTCCCAGAAGATTCTGTATGGTTGTCCTGGTTTCATCCAGGAGATTTTTAACAACTGAGTCTCCCACCACAATAGCGACAATGAGGCCAAAATCTTGGGTTCTTAGAAAATCCTGAAGTCTCCTGCTATCATTTTGAGAATCATGAGTATCAAACCTCTCCACTGCCAAAATCTGTGCAGCATCTGGGTCAATAATTCTCACAATCAGGCCTCGGAAAAACTCCTTTTCAAAAGTATATGAGCCAGAGGCCAGCCCTGAAGAATACAATGTCCTGGACAGGGAAGTCCATGCTAACTTCTGAGATCCATGCAACTCCAGTGTTCCACCAGGACCCACACCCACAAACTTTTTCCCAAACGTCGGCACATAATCACCTTGGTCCTTTTTGCCATATAAGATAATTGTTGCTTTGGATTTATAACGACATTTCTCTGCTCCAATATGAAGCGCCCCACCATCCTTGATCAGGATAAAACGTGTCTGAAGTGTAATATTTCTGGATCCTTTTTCATCATCACCAAAGACAAGCATTCCTGCAGGAAACAGTATTAATTAAGTAGTACCCAACTACTCGTTTGAGTGGCAACGTTTTGGTCTGGCGTACAAGAATTCAAATCACTGTACTAACAGTAAAGCTATTCAAATACTATTCAGGGCTGGACATCCATAGAACAAATACGTTTTTAAGAGGAAAACTGTATCGCTCAGTTTGTTATGAAATATCAGAGCAAGAAAGTACAGAGAACAAAGAGCATATAGGAGAAGCTGAACAAAATGTTCTGCACTGCTTTCCACAAGTCTGATCATGTCCTTGCAAAGTTACCAACCAAATCCTGCTGCGTAAGGCCCCTACAACACTGATGACTGCGCAGGATTTTAATCTGTTTGTATTTGATATACTTGGCACAGCAAGAGGAAATGTACCAAAAGAATCCAGACAGTAATAAAAGCTGAAAACAGACTAGTTCAACAAGGTAACAAAATAAGCAAGGCAGCTAGACAGGAAAGCTGTGCAATATATCGACTTTGGGGTTCTTTTAAAGGAGGAATGGGATGAGTTGAAAGTTTCTACAGTAATCTGGTCATGTTTTGTTTCTTCTAAGATCAGCAGGCAAAACAAGTACACTTCAAGAGAGCTACTGAAATCGTGCCACAGCTGTTCTTAACTCCAACTTCCACTGGTGGTGGGATTGAGACAAAACTGCCTGTGGAATAGCTGTCTTGCTGGCATATGCTTCTCTGAGCTTTTGGGTGAAAACCAGAAATGGAGGTAGGTACTACTCAGTAAAACTGGGAGACCACTCTTCTTTGCATGGTAAGTAAGCCACTTCTCCTAAGTTAATTTTCTTACATTTTTGGTGGTACTTTTGCTACAGTTTAACTAATGTTATAGGTCATTATGCGCTCTTGTCTCTTCCTCTTTTCCAGTTAAAGTCTATGTCCTTTCTTCCTAGTTAAAGCCTATCAGAATAAATGAGTTATTATTTTGTCCACTGTGTATGAAAAAAGTGTCTTATTTTGTTTCCATTGCACAGGAAGTAAACTGGGAGGAAACTTCCTTTTGGAAAAGCTGACTGCAAATATCTCTCCTGATTCTTCATTGTTTTTAAGTTCAGTTTGTTCCCTGTACCAACATCATGGGCATTATAAATATATGCAATTGCCAAACAATCTTTTGAATGCAAATCCTCAGGAACACAGTAATTCTTGGAACTCTCTTAATAGCCACCATTGTAACAATACAGCATACATTTTAAGGACAAAGTATTTCCCAGTGCATCAAATGGCATTTATAGTCTGAAAAACCACTGGAACAGACATACAGAACAGTATCTTTGCAGCAAATCTATTTTCATAATTTAATGAAGTATTTTCCCCACTGCCATTAAAGTATGAGCCTTTGAAATACTATGCGATGCCAGAACCAATTGCTCCCCATCTTTCTTTTAAAGAAAGGAATGCAATACTCTAGACAATAATTACAAAAATAGACCATTTATGTACATTATTATGCATGATAAAGTGCTCTGGCAGAAATTACCAACTGATAGAGATGTTCCATATTTATATCATCCTTTCAATTATACTTGCCCATGCCTGTTAAAGTAAAACCAAGATAGTGTTTTAAAAACCACACTCATGCCTACCCCATTCAGATAGACAGAGGAGGATAATTTTAACAACAGACTTGTGTATTTTAACAGGAGCTGAGCCTTATCCACCTTCACACTCTCTGACACTGAAGGCCCAGTTCTGATGCCAGAAGTGAATGAGGTTGAGGGGACGAGGGGAGGCTCAGGTACCTTCGCCTGTATGCACTAACAGGTAAACACCATATGCAATCTTTTCTGCTTTGTTTGCAAATAAGGCAAACACATGAACAAACAGCCAAACTATTTGCATTGTTGTTTAGCCCCAAAGCATGGTGACTTTTACATACCCCCATCCTGAATAACTATAGAATGTACGGTAGCATCCACATTCAAACGGTACAAATCTCCCTCTTGGAGGACAACTTTCCTTTCTCTGTCATGTCCAGGATTCCAGTTCTTAAGACGCGGGTTCTGATCTGGACAGTTCTCTGCAACACAAGAGAAAACACAGCTGCAAATAAACATTACAGTATTAAGTAAATTCTATCTATCTTCACATAGATATTTTAATGCTACAACCCTTTTAGATTTTGAATAGTTATTGAGCTATATCTGGTATTACAGAAGTGGCAGAATATGTTTCTGGCCATGTGCTCTTCTCAGCAGAATATTGGCGGCTGAACATACACAGATAGGTTTCCTGAACACATGACTGGTGGATGCTGGGAGTTGTAATCTGGCATAACTGGAGGGAACCAGACAGGGGGAAACCTGCTTTAGGTAGATAGCCTGTATAAGATCTGCTTTCCAAACATCATGTGAAACCTTTGCCATCTAATTCAGGCAGACTTTCATTGTAAAGCGTAAAACTCCTCTCTGGCTTCATCTGAACTTGAACCATATTCAAGTGGAATGATCTGTGCTTTCTCACTGACAAATCAATCAGCTCTGCTGCCCTTCTCCACCATTTCATTTCCTGACAGCTTCAGCAGTTGCAATGTATTTCAGAAAAAGCTACTGAGCTTCTGGCAAAGAATGCCCTGCAGATGTCCTCAATTATAGTCATCTTACTGTCAGCTTTTATCTACAACAAAGATGTTCTTTTGAGGCACTGAAAATTTCAGAGGACAATACAAAATGCTGAACTTTGTGAAGTTCATCCGCTACAATTCTTCACCTTGGCATGTATGTCATGTGATGGGGACAGGTCTCTTGTCTCTGCACTTCAGTAGATACGAAGATCATTTTTCTAGCTACCCATGTTAATTCTGTTTCCTCCCAAGACATCCATCTCCTATTATGATACATTGGAAAATAGCTGTGACACTCGTGAGAGAAATGTGTTATAGCTATCCTCTCCAACCTGTGAAGGACTCCAACTGGTGACACTATCACCGATCGACTAAGTGACTTTTTAAACTCCCCCTCTTCTTTCCACCCCTTAGTGACTCAGTGATCCCATACTTTGCTTTGAATAAATTGTGAGTGCCAAGCTAATGTTGTTTCTTCTGCTTTTTAACTGATCTCACTTGACTACTAGGAATTACTTCCTGCTATTAAACTTGTTTGAATCATGCTGATTTAAAAATAGAGAGTACTTCTCATGTTTCGCTATCTTCTCCTTCACTGCAATAGATTTTACACACTTCTGTTATTTCTTGGTACCAATTCTAAGAGTACCTAGTTGTATTACAATACAGTCTTCTATTCCATTCCCCTTTCCATTTAATTCAAGAAAGGAATTGTTTCTCTTCAAGGCACCAGTACCAATCAATGGTGCTAATAATAGTCAAAACCTAGTTACTGTTTATTTCAGTTATTAGAAATAGTTTGCTAAATGATAGCAGATACTGCCCTAATTTTAATCACAGAAAATTTAAACTGATATAGTTGAAGGAAAAATACATCCCTCTTTCATAAAGTGCGCTTATTTAGAATTCTGTCCTTTCAGGTTAAGTTTATCATGCTGCCATAAACACTGCCAGAAGTTAACAGCTTGGTGACAGTCATATCTACTTTAAAATAAACTTGAGCTTTACTTCTGACTCAGGCACTCTCTCCCTTTATTTTAATAAATTTCCTTCCCAAAGTGTACAGCCAGAAATAGTAAAGGGCTTATTTTAATTACACCAGGTCAAACAAGTAGCTCATGTTAGAACTTGTCAGCATTCTCTTTCAGAAGACATTCCAAGGGCATGGAGCCGCTGCCAAGAATTCCTCCCTCACACCATTGTTGTTCATACTGGATAACAAAGGGAGCATCAGCAATCCACTGGAAACTGTAGAGACCATGGTGGGAAATTGTGGTGGTACCAGGAATGGAAAACAACTGTGAAGTCTAATGAGCTTGATGAACAACATGAGGAGCAGGCAATCAGGTGCCTTCCAGTTTTGGACTACAGTTCCCATAATTCCTGACCACTTGCTGCCACTGGTCAATACAATTCAAAGCCGAACATTGTTGAGGTATACCCTTAAAACAAATCAGCAGTACAGATGCAGGAAACCTTGGTATAAAATAATTTCAGTGTTTGGTCCCTGTGTCAGAAGACAGACAAAATATGGTACCCAAATCCAATACTTATCTTCATGGTTAGCATCATATTCCAACAGCATGAAAGAAGGGTTTGACATCATGCTAGAAAAGCCTCCCACCACCTTCTGGTTCTCTTTCTCATGCCTGTACTTTTTCTTTGGGTGCATTTTTGTGGTTTCACATTGTAATTAGTTTATGTTTCAGTAAACTAAAACTTTAAAGTTTAATTGTAGATAGGCAGTAACCCAGATGTGGGATCAGGAAAAAGAAAAGAAGCCAGCTAGGCACTGTGCCACATTTCCACAAATACCCATGTGGTTTGCTGTGTTGTCAGAACCAAGAATGGGTAGGCAGGGGCTTCCAAACCATCCCAGAACAAGCCCTTTGTTGGCCCTTCCTCTTTCACCTTGGGCCCACTCACTGCTAAAATGTCACCTCAGCATGTTCTGTTGACATGGTGCAGGTCATTATGGGAATAAGGTAGTGCAGAACCATCATGTGTGAGGCTGGAAAAAGAAGCCACCGTGGCTTCTTGTCCTTCTCTGATTGTGCAACCCAGTCACTGAATGAGCTGAAAGGGATGTAAATAAAGAACCACTGGAGCTGACCCCACACCCAAGACCATATAAAAGCTATTTGCACGGCAACTCCACATCTACCGTCAAGCAGTCAGCCAGGCCCCATCATTGCAGGCTTTTAAAAAAGACTAGAAGCTTGCTTTCCTTCAACCTTCTGATTATGCTTTATTAGACTGCATTATAACCAGAGTTGCCTGCTGTAAACTTTATTTTATACTGTGGCTCTTGGTTTTTTTTTTTGGAATGCTTGCTGCCTTTGTGACCACCTTCGTTTTCATTATGAGTTTTATTGTTGTATGCTGTTTTGGGAAAGCTTCTGCCCAGAAAGATAACCAAGAAATATTTTATGTTAATAAAACAAACAAAGCAAGGAAATGTAAGATAGCTACACTAGACCAAAGGCTAATCAGGGCAGCACTATGGTTTGGACAGTGGCCAGTCAGATGCCTCTTGGGAAGCCCACAAGCTGGAAAAGAAGGCAATAGCTCCTTCTCAGAAATTCGTACTCAAGCTGTGGCCTCCAATTATGGAGTAAACCAGCATAACTTCTACCCATTGGTATTTATCCTCCATGAATTTGTCAGATCCTCTTTTAAGCCATCTGTTTGCAGCTCCTACCACCCTACTTGCAGATGCAGTGGTACGTATGTATAGTAAAGCCTCTGCAGTTTTTGCTACAGTCTTAATATGGAGTCAAAGTTATACTTAACATCACAACAATAATAATACAGTGGTACCTTGGCTCATGAACTTAATCCATTCCAGGACTCTGGTTGTGATCCAAATTGGTCGTGAGCCAAGTTAAATTTTCACATAAGAGTCAATGTAAATAAGGTTAACCCATTCTGTAACCATTTTTTTTTTTAAATCAGAAAAATGTGAAGCAAAGTGACAAAGAACAACAAAGATCGCAGCCATCTCCCCATCCCCGCCCCGAGCACAAGTGCAGCCATCTCCCCGCCTACCCAGCACGACCGAGATCACACCTGTCATCCCTGCACACGCCCATCATCCTGGTGTGCTGGCGGGGGGGGGGGGAGATGAGACAGGCATGACTGCAGGGGCACTGGGGGAGAGAGAGATGGGCACGAACAGGGTGTGCTGGGGGCGGGGGTGGAGACAGGCACGATTGTGCTAGCGGGGGATGGAGATGGCCGAGACTGCGGTTACACTCCTGCAGGAAAGTCGGGTGCAATCACGGGCACGCTCCTGAAGGGCACAATCGCGGCCATCTCCCTACTTGGGGAGGGGGGAGATGGCTGCGATTGTGTTGGTTGGGGGGGGGAGATGGCCGAGATTGTGCCCATCTTTCCTGCAGGAGCGCGCCCATGATCACATACGTCTTCCCTGCATGAACGCAACTGCGATCGTGGCCATCTCCCCACTCGGGGGGTGGGGGCGGGAGATGGCTGCGATCTTGGTCGCCACCCAATGCGGAATTCGCAACCCACATCGAAATTTTCATGAAATTTTTGTTCGTGACCCAATTTGGTTATGAACCAAGACATTTGTGAGCTGAGGTACCACTGTACATTATAACTTCACTTAATTTTATTAAAGTAAAAGGAACATCACATATAAAATAGGACTTTTGCATGGCAGCAATTCTGAATTGAAGAACCATCACTCTTCTGGATAAAGAATCATGTACCAATGTTTTATCAAGAGAACCTGAACACTAATTGGTGTGTCAGGCATACTGTGCGGAGTAACAATTTTCAGCTCAGCCATGTTGGTTTGTTAGAACAAAAGAGTAGACTTTTGTGGATCTTAGAGACTTAAATTCAGCTCAAGCATAAGCAGCCATGGACACTGTCTGCTTCAACAGGGGCAGGTAATAAAGTGCACAGGGTCTATGAAAGCTTCTGCCAGAATGGATTTATCAGTCCTTAAGGTGTTACAAATGTCTCAGTTACATGAGGCAAGTGTGCCCCAATCCAATGGAAATTAAGCTTGGCTCCCCCATATGTATTGGTACATATTCTCATGTGACAAGTCCAGCACAAGGAAACTGGGTAACTCACAGTCATTGCCTACTACAACCGAGGTGCTTATCAGGCCCATGCACATAGATCATATATACCTATGCATTGTCTAAAGCATATGCAAGTGAACGGGACTGAATGGAGAGCAGATGTGATTGCACAGCCACAGTGTATGGGCATTCTAGGAAACTTACCTCCTTAAAGAGACTGATGTTAAAGTGGATAGACTTTATGTTTCTATCCTTAAAAGAAGCTGAAACAGTAAACTGTGTTAGGACTGCACTGGAGAGCAGGGCTTTGAATTTCATATTGGAGCAGCTCTTAAGAGCTGCATTTCAGAAGTGAGTGGGCCAAAGGCGAGAGTGGCCAAAAATAACAGCATGCAGTAGCATCCTATTGTCAGGACTTAACCTTTTTAGAAAAGGAAGCAAGAGTGGAAAGCAGGGAAACCACAAAACAATGGGGGTGGTGCATGGCTTTCTGGCCATGTGGGACAACAGACAAGCCAGACTGAGGCCTCAAGCCTGAGATTCTGCATTCTTGTTATGAAGCAACCATATACTTTGCTTGAGCACTGTAAAATGGAAACAGGCAGCCCCTGTGTTTTGTTGCCATTCTTGGAAGACACCATGCATGCCTGTGCTTTGTCTATACAATCATCTTGGAGGCTGAGTCAAATGCTTATGCTCTTGAGAAAATATCACTCTGAGCAGAACTATATAGATGCTGACAAATTGTTCCACCAGGTGTGTGTGTGTGTGTGTGTGTGTGTGTGTTGTGATTCTGCAGGAAAAGATAAAGGATTTCAATGTGCCTTTATCACAATCCCTAGAGATTACCATCGGGCATAAACTTTGCTGTTAAAAAGCCCCAACAGATTAAGACCACAGCATGTTCAAAGAGACCACTCACCATCAGGAGCATATTTTGATGCAATCCCCAAAATAATCCCAAGTGCAAGAAAAAATGAAAAGCTAGACATGACAAAGCAAATGAGTGTATTTTTATGCCTCTTCTTTCTGCTTGCTTCTTGAAAGCGCTGCTCATCGGCTGAAGAGGCTACTGCTGTATGAGCTTCTTGTCCTGCAGAGGTAAATTTGGCTGAAGCTTGGTTCTTTGGAGGAGGTGGTGGACGAAATGGGACAATCCTTCCTGGGACATATCCAGAAGATTTATGGTTGCTTCCATTCTGAGGCTGAAGGAAAGCAGGAGAGCTCCCCCTAGGATCGAGGGCTTGCATGTTACACGGTCACTAGAATGAAAATGAAGATTAAATGTTGAGTTGCAAGATGCTGAGTTATACCATATTGTTGTTGAGTTGCAAGACTGTTGAGTTACACCAAATATTTCTTATTTATTGCACCAGTCTTACTGAAAACTAATGTAGAAAATAGGATCTTGCAGATGTTTCGGAAGTAAAAACTGTATGCAACAGTTACTTATGATGAATGCACTCAAATGCTTTAGGTGGGAATGGAAAAAATACCCCTTTAAATTGAATAAAATATAACATGTAATGAAAAAAGACCATATTTTGCAGTTAAGAAACAACTGCTTATATATGAAACAGGTGAAAAATACTTATTAAGCTGACTTTGTCTGTGAAATAAGGATTTGTCATTCTAATAAATATAAATTTGAACAAAAGTACTTCAAAATCTAGAGTACCGTTAAAAAACTATTATCCTGTTTCTAAAAGTAATTCATGATAATACACTAGCATGATTGTCATAAACTCTTACTTATGAATAGCTGTAAGATAATGCATTAGTGAATAATTTTACAAACTGATCTTTTGCACCGTTTGAATAATTCACATGATTACTTTCCTTGCCAAGCCTGCTGGGATTATGCCACAGGGCATGAGAGCTACATGACCTTCCTGGAGCCTGCATTTGTTGGGTCAAAACCTGCATCAATCTTACAGAACACATACTGAAGAAACACTGACAACTTCTTAAACTGAATCACAGACTTGAAGCTTACTTGAAGCTAAGTCACTGATATTTTAAGGGACCAGGCTGGACCAGGGTAGCAAAAGCACCTCAGAGCATGAACCTCACATGATGAAATAAATTAACAAAAATGAGGTGCCACAGCACTTTTATCTAGTTTAAGAACATGTTGAAAGCCTCACACACAAGAAACACATGAGTTATGCCTGGTCTTGAGGCAAGTAACAAAGACCACACTATTTCAAAGGGCTTTTTAAAAATATTGATTATAGAATGATGTAGCTGCTGCTTTTCAATTTTGTGATGATTTCTGTTTTAGACAACTGACATTTTTATCTTTTGTTGTTTTATTTGTATGCTACATTTGAGATTTTATAAACAGGATATAAAAGCATTCAAAAATAAACATCTGATCTATATAAACGTCTAGCACAAATATCCAATCTAATCTTGCAACTACTTGCTTTATAAATTTCACAGGCCAATTTTATAATTTCAAACATTTTACAGTCCACATACAAATGTTCAGCACAAACGTAGCTTAAATACTGAACTTAAAAATTAGAATAACATACATTAATAAATATGGAATAAGATCTACAAGATAAAAACAGTTTCACAGTAACAAACAAAGCAAGATATGGGCCCAAGATAAATAAGCATGGCAAACATTCTATATAGTACATATAAAGTATTCTATATAGTAAAAGCAAAGAATTAAATGAAATTTTAACACTTTAATGGATTCATATAGTCTTGTAGTTTTAAAATGTGTTGCTGATAAAGCAAGATCTTTTGCATACTCCGTGAATGGACTCCAGGTAAGTGAAAATGCTCTGCCCATACTAATTAACTGGCTGCATAATTCTCACAGAAGTGGGGGGAAACCCCTCACTTTGCCAATCTACTGATTAATTAAGGGAGAGTGGTAAGAAAAGGGCCAATGTGGTGCCAAGAGCCAGCGTGGTGCAGTGGTTAAGGGCACAGGACTGGGACTCAGGCCAACTCATGGAGCCAACTTGGTGACTTTGGGCCAGTCACATTCTCTCAGTCCAACCTACCTCAGAAGATTGTTGCTGTGGGGATAACATTGAGAGCAGGAGAAGAATCATGCAAACTGCTCTGAGTTCTTTAAAAAAGAAAAGGGTGGGATATAAATCAAACAAACAAATAAATAAATAAATGTGGCATAGTGGTCAGACTGAAAGGTCTGGGTTCTAGGGCCCACATAGCCAGGGTGTTGTACTCACTGGGTGTCTCTGAGCCAGTCAGAGAATCTCAGCCTAACCTACTTCACAGGGTGTTCTGAGGATAAAGTATATCTGTGTAGCTTATCTGCAGGGGGGCGGGGGAGGCTAGCATGGTCTAGTTGGCTGAGTTCACTAGCACAGATTTGATGCCATCTTTTCCCTCCAGCTATATTTCTCCTCTATGAGAAGATGGGCCATGTGAGAAAAAATGAAGAAGAACTCTACTGTATCAGAAAAAAGCACCATTTAGTCACAAGCATCAAGTTTCCCATGGGAAATTGGCCCATCAGATGACTCTGGAAACCGCAGGAGCTGAAGAGGAATTAACAGGTTTCCCCTTCCATTGTTCTCTAACAATAGGTATAAAGTGGAAGAGCAGCACAGCTATCTACCATTCATATCGTAGTAGACCTTGTAGAGATCTTGGCCTCACCAGGGAGGCTACAGAAAGCCCCTGAATGGGCAATCATACCAGAAGGGTGTCAACGGACACATCATCTGGAGCATAAATTTTCCAGACACATTCCTAGACCCCAAAATTAGCTTCAGTAAGAGTATTAGTTTGCAAAGTACAATATGATCAATCAAGTTAAAATTTGCCTCCAAAATCATTCTCCCTTCCTGTTTGTCCAACACATTTATTCAAGTTTGAAATATAATATTCAGATCTATGTTCTTTTTCCTTCCCTCCTCAATTTCCCTCCTTTTTTAATCAGGCCTATGCAGGGCACTGTCTTGTTATTTTAATCATCTAAAACATGTAAAGAGTTTTATAAACTAATAATGATAAAAATAATAGCATTTCTCAACTCCGATATATGAGACTATCATGATAGACTAAAATGAAATGTTCCTTGCAAACTATCTTACGCAACACAGATTTGTCCACCCTTAAGTGCAGTTTAAGGAGTTCTATACTTTGGGGTAATGGTGAGAGACTAGTCTGGGATGCAGGACATCTCCCCAATTTTTATTGGCCAAGGGGCTCACTGGATAGGTTACTTTGTGCCAGTCACAGCTTCTCAGCCTAACTTACCTCACAGGGTTGTTGTTGTGAGGATAAAATGGGGAAGAAGGCCACACTAGCCACCTCGGAATCCTTACAAGAGAAAAGGTAATGTAAATCTAATAATAAAATTATCTAGTAGAGTTTGCATTTATTTCACAGAACAACAGAAAATCTGGACAAAACATTCATGTTAATCATACCAGGGCTACCTATCTAAAGTTGTTCCATTTACCCAACACTTCTTTCACTGATTTTAGTAAGAGTCCATATCTCATTCTGTACAGCTCCATCCAATCTGGGGAAGCTTCACTCCTAATTAACAAGTCTTAACTATGAGGGGAAGATGGCTATAGTTCTTTCATTTTCCAAGAATCCTACAGTTTCTGATTAATCAAATTTAAATTCAGAGATATTTCTATTATCGTTTGACTCCTATGTAAACACAGGTCTGGATTCCGGCCAGATAAAAAGACTGGAACATCATCTGTAAATCTACAGATAACTTAGAAAGGCTTTCTTCAACCTGGTGCCTTCCCATCATATCCAGACAGCATGGAGGGCACCAGGTTGGGGAACCCTGGCTTCAACGAAGTGAAATATGATGTACTAGAGCTCAGCATGCTCAGCTGAAGGGTCTAAAGCAGGTCATGAATCCAGAATAAAAATCAAGGAAACCTAAAAACTAACTGAAATATCATGTGGGAACATAGGAAGAATTTTGTTTTGAATTCAAAAGCTGCAAAGACTGATAAAACTGTTTCAGAGTGATAAGATCACTATGTCTCAATGGAGACAATACAGAAACAAACATGAAAAGGGAGCACATGTTCCTTGCACCCGTTCCCTGTGTCATGTCACATAAGTCAAGATAGAGCTCTGTATAACCAAGTACATGGGCTACTTAGCCCTTTTCCTTTGTTCTAAGCTGGAAACAAGCCTGACACAAATGATGGAATTATCAGTTATCTGAGCAAGAACAGGCATTAGGACTTTTCATAAAGCGTACAGCTTGCACAGGCATTTCCAAGTACATTAATTGCTAAAAGCAAAACACTCTAGAACAGGCATATGCTAAAATAATTTTTGGACATTTCAGTACAGATGCCAGAGCTCTTACGGAGCCTCAGAAAAGATACTACAGGGCTAAATGTCCTCTAATTTGAAACAGCAACAAAAGATTTTTTGTAGCTAGATTATTTGCTCTTCCTTCTGATATTCTAATGTTGATGCTAAGGGTATGAGATGTTCAAAATTGGTTTCTTCTTTCAAAAGAATACAAAAATAGAAAATGATGAGATCACAAGGAAATGAATATTAAGCAATAACAGACATATCCTTCCAAAATGTTGCTTATATTTTAACTTAATATATGGTTACCAAAAAAGATTTGTACATTTTTTGACAGGAAAATAAGTAAACTTCATTGCTAGGCAATAAATGGAAGAGAAGTTTGTGATGTATTCTCCTTCCACTTACTTTCTGGCCATGCAGTTTCTCTTCACTCACTACCAACAATGAAATCCACATATAGTTGCCTGTCAAAAACAAACAAAAAACTGCAAAATTTGCAGGCACTTAAAACAAACCCTTAGATGTTCCAGAATAGGTTGGAGTGAATCAGACCAGCTGCCTTCTCAGGGTGTTTTTGACAACTGCCAGTAACAGATATAAAAAGGAGTCACAAAAAAGGGATGACCTTTACATCTCCCCTTTCTGGACTAACTGAAGACATGGGAAGCATCCCAAAGGTGGACGGCACCAAGAAGTGTTAAACCCAGAGGGTTCCTTTGCTAGGGAAAAGCCCTACAGGCCAGCTCCTTTCAGTGCACTTAACTTCACTGTTTCTTTCTCATCTGTTTTGGTGACTGACAGCTGACAAATGTTCATTTTGATCTTTATGCAGTCTCATCTTATTATTCTGGTATCATTTCCCAGCTGTAACTGATAGCAAAACTACATATATTTTGACAGCTGTAAATGTGCATAAAAGACCATAAAAGGGGGACCACTAAAAAGTTACGACGCCGTTTGTGTTGCCCCAAAACAAAGAAAACAAAAAAGTGGCAAAACAGCTACAGTCACTTCCCATGTGTCACACAGTCAGCAATGTGGGGCGATGGCAAAGAGCAGCTGGGGTGGGGGGGGGGGTTGACACTCTTGTCAAGTGGTTGCACTGCCTGCAACCCATTATGGGAACAGTCTGCTGGGTTCAGCTGACACAGCAACCCACTGTGTAGACTAACAAGCCGTGTTTTCTCAGCCTGTCTTGTTGCCCCAAACCAAGCCAACCTGCAGAAAATGGTCTGCATTCAGACAGCATCCATGGCTAATTGCCTCTAAAGAGTTGCCATGATGCCCAAATCCAGTCAATGGCTCAGTATGACGACCGAGTGCATTGGAAGCTCTGCATCTCCTACACTTACTGAACTTTATCCATTAAAATACTGAATGCTTGGGCAAAACTATTTGTGTACCCGCAACTCTGCCTATAGTAGCTGCTTAGGTTACCTGGCATTCACTTTTCCTCTTTTCAGAACAAATTACTATATTTAGAGATACAAGCTTCTACCCCTAAAGCATATTCCCAACAGACTCAGGAAATACGTCTTGCATTTGATGTGTCCAAATGTATTGATATGTTCTGCTGCAGTCTTTCTTCAGGTGCCTTTTTTATCTGCAATATGTTATGTAATAAAAGAAAGGGCTTTTTTTGGCAGCAGAATCTTAGTCACAGGATGCCCCCCACTCCTGCCCCACTGCCTAGTCCCTACACTGCACTCTTCTCAACAGCAGACAAAACATTCTTTTTCACTCAAACATTTTAATTTGCTGTAAACTTTTCACTGTTAATTATTTTAATCACTGTATTATTGCTTGGTAATATAATTGATTGTACACTGCTCTGCAGTCCTGTTAAGTATATAAATGTTTTAAAGTATGGATTCATGTAAATGTGGATGTATATTTAGGCAATTTTAATGCATTGCTTATAATAAGCATAGCTAAAATGGCTCTTGGTACCGAAGTTTGATTTTGGCCTATTACTGACAAGAAGCTTGGCTTGGGAAAAATACAACATTATTCTTTTTCCTTGAGGTCCATGTACCAAACTGATCAAAACCACAAAGGACATGCTGGAAAAATTTTACAAGTAAAATTTGCACAAATAAGAACAAAAGAGTATAAGATATGAATAAATATAAAAAGGGGAACTAAAACAGAGCAGTAGCAAAACTGATTCTAGTAAGCAATCGCCAATGCCACGGCAACAATCAAACTATGAAACTAAACAGAAGGTATGTGGTGGAACTGCTCCTGGAGAAAGCAATTTCAGCTGACAAAAATATTACACACCAACTTTTTTCTTGTTTTTACTTCCTATCATAACCTATGTTAACCGATAGCATGGTATCAATGTTTTCTATAGTTGTCTTCAATGCACTTCCTTGGTATTAATAAATGCTTAAAATATAATCTATGAGCATTTATTTATAAAATAACTGTAGAATATAAAATGATTAAGCCTTTCTTAGAATCAGAGAAGCGCAACACTATACATCCAGATACTGGGCAAGTTCACTAGACATGCAAAGACCATCCTGTGAATAAGCCATGGTCGGCTGGGTATTGTCTGAGCAACCCAATGCACTCTGAACAGACAAATGGGCTTTCCCTGGCTTATCTTCCCATTGCTTCCCACTTCCCATATAGCATTGCTTGGTTAACGTCCTTGTATGTTGCACCACTTAAGAGGGGTGCCTAAACGGTGTATTTCATATACAAGCAAATTGACAAGATGTGACATGTAGGCAAATTTGTGCATATTTAACAAATACCAGGGAAAAATTATAGTAAGGACTTCAGGAAGTCCTGAAGCAGAAAAATGCAAGATTAATTAGTGCATGGGAGAGGGGGGAATTCAAGATCACCCACACTGCAATGTAATCTATTCAACTTTTAATGTTGAACCCACACGTGTCCATGTTCTCTTCCCATCCAACACTTCCCTGATTCTCCAGCAAGCTTGGAATAGGGAAATACTGGACCCTTTTCACAGCTCCTTGTTAAAGGGGTTACAGAAGGTGTGCAATTTTCCCTCCCCTGTACATGGCAGTCCTGAAATTTGAGCAAATTCCTCCTTCACTTCCTAGCCTGTAAATTCAAACAAATATCCCTGACATTTTTAAAAAGAAGCCTTTAAAGGGTAGCTGTACAGGATGGAGAAAATTAGGCCAATGGTTTTCAACCAGCGGTCCACGGACCAGTGCCAGTCCATGGCAGATTTCCTGTTGGTCGGGGGGGGGGGGCTGCATTCCGCTTGCTGCAGAGTGGCATGGGGGCTCACTGTGCTCCACCACCTCTTCCTTGGTTGGCTTCACGTTTGAGGGGGTGCACCGGTGCCATGGGGGGCAGGGAGGGGAGAGATGGCTCGGTGAGAGCTGGTTGGGAACCACGCTGCCCTGGTTTTGGTATTTTGTTCTTCTGTTGGCAGTTTTTGTTGTTCAATTTCTGGTTGTTTTGGAGAATTTCATTATTATTATTATTATTATTATTATTATTTGGTATTGTGTTTGGAAACTGATACACAAATTACTGTATTATGTGTATGGTGCTTTTTGTTTCTGCCTCAGTGGTCCCCGAGGCAGTTTTCCCATTTTTTCAATTCTCAGCTGCAGAAAGATTGAAAACCAGTGAATTAGGTTACCATATCAGCAGTTTTTACCTTCGCCTGTTCCCAATAAGACACTATTCACACTGTCCCATGCAGTTGCCTTCTCAGGTTTTTAAAAAATATTTTTAAGGACATTTACATACAACCACTGAAATACAGTTCCACAGGAGCTGCTCCGAAAAGGAGCCACAAAAGGGGCAAAGTTAGTAGCTTCTATTTTTGGACTAGTCAGAGACTTGGGAAAATGCAAAAAAGGTAGACACTAAGGTGTGTCAGTACATCAATTGAAAGCAAGAGGCTTTCCTAGGGGAAAATGCTGCTCTGCCTTGTCCCATTTTCCATTTTTCAAAATTGCACTACTGCATCCCACCTTTCTTTTACTATTACCCTCCAGTCCTTCACATCTGTATTCAAATAGGCAGCGAGCCTCATTTTGTCAGTTTCCTTATATATTCCCTACTCATTTCCTGTATTCCCTTTACCAGTTAAACATGCAAGGACATTGCCCAGGCAAGACTACCTATATGAGATTGTGGAATCTGTTCTTTTTTGCACTTGCGAAATAATGACCCTCCAATTACAACCCTACTTGTGCTATCTTGAGGCACATTTTTTGGGTGGGGGGAATGGGGAGTTGGTGAATGGGCAATAGTCCTTCCAAGATGTGGTTTGGACCTTAGCGAAGGAGTAGTCACCAGCAAAAGAGGCTGGAGGCAGCACTCACGAGATCATGAAGCCTGATGGGCTTTTTGGCCACTCATGCCAAGCAGCTCTGTACTAATCTCAACAAATCCACTATAAAATAGGCCACTCATAGAGCATTATGCTAATAGAGCTTTTATACACATTGAATGAATGAATGAATGAATGAATGAATGAAAGAAAGAAACTGGTCTCCAGGGTTCAAGCAACTCTATAAGCTCCCGTTAAATGGACAACCCTATAACAAGCCATGGGTTCTCAGAGTGAAAATTAAGCCTCCCTGAGGAGAACTTGCCAAGTTTAGATGTCGCAAAAACTCTTGGCTGGCTGCTCATGGTGGGTTGGCATGTCATACAAATCTAGTCAAAAACACGAGGCAGTAGCCTGTTAAGATAACAGAAGGTTTGCTCAGTTAGGTTTACTATCCATAAATTATTCCTCATACAATACAAGGAGGCTCAAACATAATGAACCTCTTAAGTAAATGTTACGTCATGTTATTAGCAGAAGAGGACTGGAATTTGTCCACAGAGTCAGCTGAGACTTGAATCTCACAAGGCATCAAAAATAATTAGAAGGACCCACTCATATTCAATACAGTCGATCAATGTTACTGTAATATAGCAATTAGCCGTTTTGACCAAATCATCATCATTGACTATTAGCAGAACACAATACATCAACCACTGGAAGTCCAGGAAGAAAACTATACTGATGCTGTCTTACATTTGTCCGCACAGCCCTTGCATACATCTGAGGGGCTAAAACAATTACTGCAGCTGTTGTTAAGGGTTACATATACATTAAGATCAACCGTATGTTTATATTCAGTATACTCATATAGCAGTGTTCCAGATGCATTTGGACTGCAACACACAGAATTCCCAGACAATGGCCCTGCTGGATGGGAATTCTGTGAGCTGCAGTCCAAATGCCTCTGAAGGACACCAGGTTGGGGAAGGATGCTGTATAGAATAGCTATCTCCAACTGAGTACCCTCAAGATGGTTTGGACAATAGTTCCCATCTTTCTGTGCCAGCACGAAAAACTTATAAAAGCAAACTCTGCTCTTCTTAGGGATGAACTTCTCAGCCTGCCAAGGGGGAATGTTTAACTGCACCTGAGCAAAGGCTACTCTCATTTCTGTACCAGGTAAATCATCAAAGCATTTTGGAATTATAAAGCCATGAAGGAGTTAAATAGCATACAGCCTGTGTCCTTAAAGCACTGCAACAATACAGGCTTGGCTCTCTTGTGCTCTATTGTATTCAGTACAAGTGGTGTAATTAATTAAAGATGATCAGTTGTGCATTCTTCCTCATGGCTCTTTTTCACTACTTTGTAAGAAATGTTGCATTCAGCCATCTGAACTGCAACGTACACAGTACTTGCAAAGACTAGCCAAAAATGATTCTTTTGCCCTTACCAGCACATGGCTACCTCTCAGGTAGTATATGGAAGGAAGCACAGGAATTACTATCTATTAACACTCATGCCTTAAGTAACTATCGAACAGGTGATGTGGTGAACCACAATAATCACAACAAAACCTTATCAAGTATGTTAATATAAATATGATAGATGTGTCCAAACTTTGAGGGCTACTTATTGTTGTAAGCCGCCCCGAGGCTTTGGCGAATGGGGCGGCATAGAAATGTTTTAATAAATAAATAAATAAATAAATAAATAAAT